TCCGAACGACCGCTCGCCTCCTGCAACGACAAGAAAATCCTGCCTGGGAGGAGGCGGCGACGAACCGATGAAGAGGGCTGTCCCTCGTCCCGCCTACGATCCGAACCGCTCGCGTTGAGCACCTCGAGCCCCATCCTTTTTTTCAGGTTGAAAGGCTCCAAGTCCAAGAAGCTGCCATGTGCCTTGGGACGCCCAACAGTGTACCTGCCTAAGGAGGCTGTCCTAGGAGGAATCGATGTTGCTTGTGTTGTATCCATAGGGAGGGGTGTTTTGGGCTGCCCCGTATCTTGCATGTACGAGCCAACGGCAGAATGAGAAGAGCCGCGAGGCTCACCTTCTGTAACGAGGGGCCTCATCAAAGCCGCAGAGGCTGTTGGTACTGAGGGATTGGACGGCCCCGCACCCATAATTGTGGGCAGTACCGCGGGAACCGCCCCTGTCACGGACTGGTGACGCTGGGGGCTGGAGCGATGGAAGCGCGGGATGCCATTGAACTTGTGGAAGCGGTGATGGCCCCTGCTGTCGCTGCGACTCCGCCATAACTTGATCATGCTCCAGGAGGCTTTTGCATCTCATGCAGCGAGTTGGGAGAGCAGGGGCAGCTTCGTTGACGCCTTGAACTGGCGGACACCGATGTCACAAGAACTTCCGCCATTGCTTCATCGGCAGTGCTGTGGAATCAGGTGAAGCGATTGGTGCTCTTGCTTGAACAGCAACAATCTAGGGCCCGTCTGCGGCAGTCGTTCGAGTGGCTGCGTACAAGCCGGTTGCCTGGTGAAGCGGCGCAGAACGCGACCAATCATCTGCAAGTTTTTCAGTCAAATCCTGCACTGCCGAACACCGATTTATGCATACCACTTAAGAGCTGGAAATGAAAGTGAAAATGAAAGCTTTCTTTCGAGATTGGCGTCAAGGTGCCTTCGGCTTATGCATAAATTTGTTGCAACTACAAACGAAGTTGTTTTCAGGAAGACTTGAGGGAAATTTTGAACGTTGCCACCACCATTAAAATTTACACGGCAAGAACGTCGTCATTAGAGGACCGGGAATATTTCTTCCATCGCGAGATGAAAATGTGAAGCCGTAGCAAGTCTGCACCATCTTTCTTCTTCGTTTTTTCCATTATTATTGATAGCCTTGTGCAATTGGATCATTTATCTGGAGGATAACGGTCAGAAGTTTCACGGCTTGCGTCAATTCTTCGTGCATGATGAGAGATTGATTCCAGTTCAATGGCGTGTTCTTCTACAATATGGAGCATCGCAATCATGGAAAGTACATAACAAGGCAAGAAGTTGCGGGCAGCTTCCTATCTTTTCTTTGCGGAACAAAGCCGTGTCCATTTTTTGTCCATTGAAATTCAACATAAAGTAAGCAAAAGATACAGCCCGTCCAGTGACATAACGAAAACAATCGGCTTGAGAATTGTGGAATAGATTGACGTGGTTGATATCGTTCTTGTTCCATTTCCAGGAAGCGATATGGATGGAAATCTTGGGAAAACTGTCCTCCAAAATGTTATTACCATGAAGCCGAAAATCTATCATACCCATAGATTGGCTGGACAAGCTTACCAACAGCGAGTCCTCCATCAAGGTGTTGCATCACGTGCAGGCGCTCAAGGTGGGTTGTTGAGTCGTTTTTTTTCAATTCCCGAATCGGTAGGGAAACCTTGCACATTTTGCTTTCTTCTTCTGTGACCCTTCCACTTGCTGGGATGGCAGACGTCTTGTGGTGATTCGTATACACGCGTAAGAAATCACTTCAAAATGGCAATTTTGGTGACATGTACCTTGTATGCGGTACAGAAATGTACCGTGCACTGCAATGCACGGAGATGAAGCCGCATCACATGCCGCACAGCGTTTTTTTTTTCACAACACATGATGCAGAAAACAGCATCCCACGCTATGGCGTCAACAAGTACCTCCCCATCCCCCGCGCCACCCCAGGAGCACAGCGTTCGCCCTCCACGGGGACCCGTTGCCAATGTGCTCGCCTGCTGCGAGGCGCAGTGCGAGCATTTCTTGGACCATAGATTCTCTGACTGTTTTGACCATTTTGACCATTTTGTCGCGGCCCCCCCATTTGGAGAATTTCACTTCCCTTCAGTCCTCCACATCGGCACCCGGCCGTACGCGCGCAAAATCGATCTGCGAAGACAATTGCTGTAATGCAATGACCATATGAGGAAGCCATGTGTCGCCCGGATTTTAGCATGGGAGGTTGTGCCCAGGCTCGGTTTTTGCGCCGTTAAAACTGATCGTGTTTACGTTTTTACGCATAAAAATAGTTTTCACATTTTTGCACGTAAAAGTGCATAAAATACGTAATGCAACGTAAAGCTGTTTGGTGTACACAAGGACAGTACATACAGACTTATGGAGTCCAGAGTGTGGCAGCCACATGCCCTGACAGGGGCAGAAAACGAGTTTTTGTTTAAACGCCATTATCGTCCTTGCCAAGGGCGAGGTGGACATTGTGTTGCGGGTGCTGGAGATGATGAAGGACGGATCATTGTACGCAAGTTTCATCGTGTAAACTGGGTGTCTCAGGGAGCTGCAAAAACGTAAAAATAACCGAAAAAAGCCCTTTTGCAAAGTTATGTCTATGTGTCAAAACATAAAAGCAAAAACGCAAATGTAAGCATAAGAACCAAGCCAGGTTGTGCCCCTGCCCATCCTTTGGGCTGGGGGCATTGCGCTATATGTCGATGACTTGTCCTGCGGTTCTTTTTGCCCATCAGCCAAATGTGTACAGCTGACACACAGCCTGCAAGGCAAAAGGCAGCCTTTTACATCAACGTCATGGAGGGAATGCATCATCGAAATAGTGGATGAGATTATGGCCATGGCTGAAATAGAACAGTTCTATTTCACAGTTATTGTGAAGGCTCCTTTTATAACGAAGACCCAAGTTCAAGTCTTACCCCAAGTCCTCTGCCTTTCTGGCCTCACGCCATTGGGGATCATGTGTGTGCACAGATTTCGGCGTGCCGAAATGCGACGGACCACTTCCATTAGAATTTTGTTTGTGAAGACAGTTGATGAGATACTGCATCGAATGGTGGAACTTCCCAAATCTCGCGCACATGTCGCCATTTCCAAATCCGGATTCCAACAATTATAAGTCAATCCTCGATCATGGTATGGACGCATCATTGCCTTTTCCATCGATTTCAGCCTGATTTTAATTCACCGGAGGCTATATCATTAGATACACCGTATTTCCAACGGATCTACAAACACGTCCACATTTCCAGTGTCTTCTTCAGCCAGTCTCCAACGATTGAACGATGGTACAAACACACCAAGCCAGTCTACCGATCATCAAGTCAGCTGAACGATTCCTGTCGACGTTACTTCCTATCTCCTTGAGGACGTCTTTCCAGCGATTTCATTGTGGAGTTCACTTTCTGCGGGTGAAGCAGCAACGACACCAAGCACGACAATCAATTCCAGATTTTCAAGGCGATTGTGTCCATTATGTTAATTCGCTCCAGAAGACGAGGTTCATTTTCTCATCCACTGCCAGGCTTGTGATAACATCCATCAAAGCCACTACTATCTTTTTCAATTTCGCAATGCAAAACCGCTTCCTGCTTCAGTTCCTGCTCACCAAGTGGCGAGGGCACTTCTTTGATGCAATATCGATGACAGTCGCTTCCTGGCATTAGGATTTAATAAATTCATAGACTCTGTTTGTGTCCACATTAGATTTCAATGAACTGATCATAGACACTGCTTTGCTCGGTCAAAAATATACTTTTTCCTTCCTATAAGTTGACGGCTATGTCATCGCCTTGTTCTGTAAAAAATGATGATGATGATGACGAAGGCTGCTGCTGCTGATGATGAAGACTGGATTGACATAATCTAAATCAGCAGAAGCAACACATGTCTGAGCACGACGTGTCTCGCGGGCCCCAATATCGCCCGAGAACAGCAATTCCGATCGAAATTGGAAACGCGGGTGTGTTTTTTTCATGAGAACTCAACGTACTGCTGCACTTCCCAAACCACTGAGCTGCTGTCCATCAGAGATCACAAGGTCATCAATCCATTGACTCTGATGCCGTTCCACCGTTCTTGCCTCTTATGTCAGTGAACACCCCCCATGAACACTCGCGACACGTGATGAACGTAGAAAATAACATGCTCTAGCTCGCTGTCCGAGACTATAGCACAAACGTACGTGGCCCTGTGCAGAAAGCAATTAAAATGCGATCAGAAGCTGCTGCGAGTTCAGTGGGTTAGCTCAGTGCTGCTTCATCCTTCCATGCAAGCAGGGCGCTCAAAATGCGAGTAGAATAGTGACATGCACGCATTTGTTTTCCCCACCATGCGTTCCATGTGGATTTAGGAAGCTTTGGTCAAGATGCCACACTGCAGAAGACCATGCTGGCGTTGATCGCACCAGGGGTGGCTGGGGCTGGATTCTCAACGTAGATGAAGGCTGCCCAATGGCCACATGAACAAAGCCTGCAAACCTGTAGTGGTGTCTACACGTCCACCAGGGGGGCGATAGTAGCTTGACGTTGGAAATGCTCCCAAAACACATAAAGACTGAGGAATTTGGTGTTCCAGCGGCCCGTCATTGTTCAACTTCCCTCAGAGCACTTGGTGGTGCTGGGCAGGAGAAATTCTTGCTGCCCAGATAACAGGACTATCTGATAGCTTCTGCACAACCTGGACTTCCACACTGTGGGCTGCACCCTGCATCATCAACTTCATCTACAAGGTCTTCTGGCAGGTGTTCCAACAAATTTGACCACATTGACCACTTCAAAAGAGAACCCTGTGCAAAGCCTGACATTCTCTGCATGCTATGCAGCTAACTCTTAACCCAGCATTCACACATCCTACTATCTGTGGCTGTGTGCTCAGCGCCCACAAAGTAGGCAAACATCTAACAAGAAATGATGCATTCACATTCATCTTCTCTGCTCTTGCAAAACCATCTTTGTCAAGCACTGCTGCTCAGCTGGTTATCTCATTTCGTCAAGAAAGCCAATCGTGTGCAGCTGTGCTTGAGCTCTCCCTGCTCTCTTGCTTCTTTGCTTCTTTGACAGCTTTGTAGGCAGCCCTGCCAACGGGTGTCTTCTGAAACTGCTGGGCTCGAGCCTCCGCCTACAAAAGTGCATTCAGGGAGTGCATGTGGAGGGGGAAGGAAATTCAAGGAGCCAAGGGTATGTTTTGAGACAAATGCTGCAAATTTGCTATACCTGGGACCCTGATGTCCAGGCTCGATTGATGAAAGTGCCAAGGGAGGGCTGATATCCATGCCACCACCAGCTGAGGGTGACAGCAGGAGGTAATTACTAATCACTGTTGGATGGCAGGGCATTACAGCGTCACCATTTGCATTGGAGCACACATCAAAGAGCATGTGCACCAATGGCCAGGTTATTGCTGTTATTCTCTTCAAACTTCCACCACATTTAGAACCTGGGGTATGGCAATGGTGACCAAGTTCCTTGTTGTACTGTGGTCTGCATCTGTTCATGAATGTGTATGAGTACACGCACCGCCTCTGCAGCCTTCGCCTGTGCCTCCCTGTCCATTTCTGTCAGTCTTCTCTGCCTGTACATTGTGATGCAAAAGAAAATTTAGCACGATTCACCTGTGACATTGTATGTTTGCCCTCACAGCTCTTCTCTGTGTCCAGCAGTTACATTCTCAGCTGCAGTCACCCTAACTTGTGGTGTATCACACAATTGCTGTTTTGTGGAGAGGAGCAGTATTCGCAGTGGCGCGGTCTTGGCTGTCCCTTCATGTGAAAGTTGTACTAATCTCAAACAGAATTCAGTACACCATGCCAACCAGCATCAAGCATGATCGAAAAATTAAACATGATTAGGGTGGTCTATTTGGACGTGCTTGATGTGTGGATGATCTCTTATTACATGCTCGCAACCCGAATTGCAGCGCCCCAGAAATGATGCTTTTTAGAATCCTAGTCAGCTTTCTCATGCAAGAATCGACCCCTGCAACATGGGGTTTTACGTGAAGAGCAGTGCTATCTGACTTGGGTGCACTCGAGGGCAGCCGAAGGGAGGGGTGCGGCTATCTTCGTCACAGTTGCAGCGTGTTGTGCCTGGTTGTGCCCAACTTCTGGACTGGCATTGCATAAGATGGAGACAAAAATCTCAAGTGCATTTGTCGCATCATTCAACGAAATAACATGCATAAGCGCCAAGTGTTGGCAGTGAGGCACGTTTACTTTCAAATGCACATTTTTGTCTTCGTGTGCTCTGGTCCTCCTTTACAACCCAATTCTTGATGTCCACAGCACTCCCTGTAGTCATTCCACTTATGTGCACAGTTCCATCAACGATTCTTGTGCAAGAACGAGAATTTGTATTCGTTCAGATTATTTAGATTGTACATCTTCACACAGTATCCAGAAAATCCTTGACACAGGCGTTGCCCCACAGAAGGAGAACAGGCAGCGATCAGTGGATATTGAAGAAGGCAATAAAGGATGACTTTCAACAAAACCAGCATACACTCCCTGTGGCAACCGAATCGAAAATCAACTCCTTCAAGAACAGTCCACTGTGGACCCCAATCAAAGCAACGCACGTCATCATGGGGAAGCTCAGTTGTGCAGTTGTGAGTTGAATCCATAAAATGGCACCAGATGCCGTGGCTATTGCAGACACGATTGGAGAACCACGGACGGCAACTTGCACCCTTTTTTCGTATCGCAATCTGCTGCCTTCTCCTTATTACTGTCCTGATGGCTTTTGGTTGGCACTGCTTATACGCTCCTCGAAGTTGGGTACCAAGGGCGCCAGCGAGGGGAGCGTCACAGATCGCGTCCCAGCAGCCGCTGTGCCGATCGCCAAGACGATGCCACAATAGGAGCACCGCAGTTGAGGTCTTCGCTCGGGGATTGGGCTCAGCGCCGAGGCGGCAGCGATCGTCCCAATCCCAGCTGGTGAAACAACGCAACCGTTCGACGCATACCAACCGACCCGGCCGCGCAGGGTCCATCAATCCGGCTCCCTTCTATGCGACAAACGCAAAATCAACGCACAAGGACCGCCGGGCTATTTTCGGGCCGAAAGCGACAACAGCAACGCGCGTCCCGGACCCGAAACGCAAGACCCAACCGCGCGGACTCCGCCTGCCGATTCGGCCCATCTTCAGGGACAACGGCCGCGCTGGACACTCTCGCTTCGCCCGCCGCGCAGGAGATCCCCTCGCATCAAAGCGGCGCGCGCCGCGCCCCGTCCCTCCGCCCCCTCCTGGTCCCTCAGCCCCGCTCCGCGATGGCCGGCTCACCGCGCGGCCGGCGCCCCCGCTGACACTGCCCCGCCCGGCGTCGGCCGGAACACCTCCTCCGCGGCACCGCCGCCCTTCCCGCCGCCCCCACAGCAGTTCCCCATGGCCGGCGACCGGCGCGGGCCCGCACCCGAGCTCCACCACCGGGGTGGCCGGCCGCCCGCTGGGCCCCTTTCAACCCTCGACATAATCCCGCTGACAGAATCATCGCAACCGGTTCCGGCTACCGCAACAGCGTCACCCTCAGGGACCCCCTCAGGACGCACACTGAGGCCGCGGGTCGGTCCTGGAGGCGTAACCGTTGCGGGAGGGTTAGTCACCGGCCGCCCAGGGGTGCACGCTTTGAGGCTTTCGCGGCCGGGGGAGGGGGGTTATCCCAGCGAGCGTCACAGGGCGCCAGCCAGCGCCGGGTGCTTCGGCTGCGCCGCGAGTTGTGCAAGGGGGAGTTGCGGGCGCGCGGCCGGCGCCTCGGCATCTGGCCAGGCTGCGTTCCGGTGGGTGGTGGCGTCGGGCCCGCGATCGCGCGGTCAGGCCGATCGGCTGTCAAGCGGACCCCTCTTTCGCGTCTCTCTGGGGCGCATTCCGCCGAGCGTTGAGCGGTGCCGCCGGGAGGCCGTGTCCTGGCGCGTCGGTGGGATCGATGCTGCCCGCAATGGGGTGCGGGCCGGGGACCGAACTGCCCTGATGGGCGGCCTGCAGATCTGGCATGCTGACCTGAACTGCCGTGGCGAGGATCCGCTGGACGGGGCGATCCGTGCGAACGTCGCACGAGACTCTCGCGGGCGGGTCTCGTACTTTTGATCTCACCCTCGAAGCGGCAGATGTGTCGCTGATGCGCGTGCCGGCGGACGCGCCCAGTGCGCTCCTTGTTTCGGAGGCCCCCCTGCGCTCGAGTGCGTGTGATGTTTGGAGCGATTTGGGAACGGTTTGTTGCATGTGGTTGCCGCAGGCGCACATCGCCGGCGCGCCCCATGAGGCCCGCAAGGAAGCATGGAAAGGCGGAGTCGGAGGAGAAGGCCACGCCCTCGCGGAGGGTCGGCGTTTCCACTACCCGCCGTGCTGTCGGCTCCGCAGCAGGTTTGAACCGTGATTGCTGTCACGAAAATATTGATCGTGCGCCTGTTGACGACCGGGTGAGATCACCCCCCGAGTTCGGAAATGCAGCGTGCGCCCTGTCGATCGGGACGGTCAATGTTGCTGCTTCGCCGTTTGGACATGTCGCTTCGTCGGCGGTTGGCAGTTGACTGGTTCAGGCAGTGGCGCGCGTGCGCGTCAAAATGCTCCGGCTTGGGGCTGTGTCCTGCGGTCTGCGGGGGCTGCGCACTTCTGCAGCGTCCTGTTGGTGGGGGATGACGGGGTGTTGTTTTTGTTGGCGCAGATAAGGATGCTGCCCCAAAGGTCGGGAGCAGGTCAACCAGGTGCGAATCACGCCTGCCATCAGGACCGTCATGCTTGCCCGACCTGATGGCATTACGTGGAGGGCATTGATTCCCTGCCGTGGTTGGATTGGCAGCGCTGCAGTGCTTCGCCTGTCGGGGGGGGTGACCCGACGTTGCTGGGCCCGCGCTGCCACCCCGGTGAATTTGTGGCGAACGGCGGCCTTCAGCTCAAAATCTGGGTCTGTGGGTGTTCAGGGTGGCGGCAGCCGTCAGCACACCTGAGCGCCCAAAGAAGCCCGCTGTAAAGAAAGCTTCGTCGTCGGTGCCAAGCTACATGCGGCCAACCAAGACCTCTCTGGCACACAAGGGCCGCAAGGAGAAAGAAGCGGAAGAAGAGATGCTGTACGTTCCTGACACGTTCTGTTCGTTCCATCCCGCTTGTCGCTATCAACGAAACGCACCCAGGCACTTGAACACTGCAACAGGCAACATGGCACTGCAGAGCGGATGCAGAGAGAGCCCTTTGCGACATGTCAATGGGGCGCTGCCCTGTCACGAGTTCTTCCTTGATGCGGACAGTTCCAGTGGGTCAGGATGTTGTCTGTATTCCAGATTCGTGAAAGGAATTATTGTTAACGGTCCGAAGCTGTACACTCGCATGAATGTGTAGGCTCAGGGCTTGTCACCATCGGCTTGACAATACCCAAACGTGGAGCAACGCCAGCGAAGCCTGAACAGCGAGAAACCAACCTTGGCATCCATCCTACACCTCAGGAGACTGTGACAATGAGTGCCAGACTGTTTGAATTTGGGAAAGGACCATTAGTTGGAGGAGGGGTGGGGTGGGGGGTGGGGTATGTGTTTGTTGGAACACACTCTGTGTGCAGCGCTTGCCAAGCAACTGTCCTGTGTTTCTGTGCAAGTTAAGAGCTTGCGATTGAAGCCCTTGGGTGTCCTTGCTTTGCACAAGCTAATATGGGTGTCATCCAATAAGCATCTGCTCATCAATGATCCTGTGAGGCGAACATGTCCATTTGGAGATGAGTCATTTGCATGTTTTGTCTGTGACACATTGTAGGGCCGCTGACACTGCTGCAGCCAGCCCCAGTATGGGTGCAGAGCCTGCTGCTAACAAGAAGCTCTCAACACGTCCAACGACTCCATCGAAGGATTATGAGGACAGCAAGCCTGATCGTGAGGATCAACTGCTCGCAGCCCCAAGCGAGGTTACGCCAGGTGGGCCGGCTGCTGCAAACTTAGAAGAGAGCCACCTGTCCATGGAAAGCACCACGGGAGACTCGCATCGTGCAGATGCACGACCCAAGAAAGAGGGGAAGGCTGCTTCCTCAGATGTGAAGCAAACAGGTGGCGCAAAAGCAAAACCTGTGAGGCTTGCCCTCAGTCCTACAAAGGACTTGAAAACAGAAAAGAAGAAGCTAACCAGGCCAGTTGGCAAGATTGCGATGGGAAGTAAGGCCAGTGCTGAGCGGAGCATACATGCCAAGCGCGAGGCCCTGTCCCCTAAATCTCCTCCCAGAAGGGAGTCACCCAGCGCCAAGCCGTCCAGCAGCCTGGAGGACGGTAAGAAGGCTCGTGCTGCTGCCAAGAAGACTCCCAGTACGCCTCAGAAAAAAATTGTGAAAGACGGTACGCCAGCTGCCACTGTTGGAACTGCAGCACAGAATCTTCCTAAAGAATCCGACTGTTCTGAGGACAAAGTACAGGAACCTAGCATTCTCCAAGAGATGGAGGGTGCCACATCGGGGACAAAAAGTCTGGCGCTTCCAGGCCAACCTGTTGCCAAGACACCAGAGGTGGTTGAGGACAAGCCCTGTGAAGAACCTCCGCAAGAACAGACCTCTGTTGTGGATTTGAAATCAGAAGGTTCTTTCTCCCAGCCTGCAGACAAGGATGTGGAAGTGGCCAAGAAAGAGGGCAATGAACCAAAGAGCCTTGTGAAGCCAGGTCGGCCTGGAGCTGATGGGGTTGCTGCTGCTGGGGATCTGGGCACCTCTGGTGTGCCAGGGAGCAAGGGTAGTGAAGACATACCAGTTGAGGCGAGGTTGAATTCCGCGAACCTGAGCCAGAAGGAAGAATCCAGGGTGGCAGACGATGCAGGGCGCAAGGAGGATGCCGGTCTAGAGGCTGCAGAAGACCAGCCAGTTGGCAAGGATGTCTTGTCAACTAAGGAGCCCGCTGTTCCACCGATGGGGCTTGCAGCTGAACCACAGCCCATTCGGGGACAGACGGCTGGGGATGACTTTGATCTGCAAGGAAGCGTACAAAGCAGTGCACTGGAAGCACACCCTATGCGGGTGGTGCCAGAAGTGTCAGATGTGCAGGTTCCTTACCAAAAGTCGTCATTGAAGGATTCGCTGGATGCTGAACGGAAGGAGGCTGCCATGGCAGCTGCACGTAGTGCTGCCGTTCCTACTTTTGTTGCTTCAAACATGACAGAAGGCAAGCAGCCCACAGGACAGGTTGAGGACATGCCTGCACAGGGTTGCAAGGAGGCTGGCCCTGTGCTGGGGAGTGAAGCTGTGGTAGAACTGAATGAGGCAAAGGAAACGGTGGTTAGCAGTGAGCTTTTGGGTGTCGCTACGCCACCGCAGACATGTGAGACACAAGTCCCCTCTGAGACAGAGCAGGTGCCATTGCAGCAGGCAGCTGCAAAGGAGATTTCAAGCAAGCTGCCTGCCACAGGAGATCTGGCTGAAAGCCTTGATGCGAAGGAGCCTGTATCAAAAGAGGAAGGAGGGCCAGCTGATCCTTCTCAGAGTGAAGGGGTGTGCTTGGGCGATGAGAGAGCGGATTGTGCCAAACCATCAGCCGATGAGATATCAGGCAGCACAGGTGAGGCAGAAAAGGCTCTGGTATCAGAAGAGGTGGCGGCACCTGCAGCAAAGGATGAGCCAACTGAAGTAGTTTCAATGCCAAGGGCAGTGACAGATGCGTGCAATACAGACAAGCCTCCTGAAGCTGTAACAGTGGAGGACGATGGAGCAGAGTGCACCAAGCAGTCAGCTGGTGGGGTGTCAGGCAGCGCATGTGAGGCAAAGGAGTCACTGATTGAAGCTGAACCAGCGGTGTCTGCGGAGGGAGGCGAGTTTGCCAAGGTTGTGCTGACTCCAGAGCCACCAACTGAAGCCTGTGATGCAAGCCAACCTGCTGAAGTTGTGCCAACGAAAGATGAGGCAGCAGGCCAAGCAGCTGATGTTGCACCTGTGAAGGACGAGGGAGCCGATTGCAGCAGGGCATCTGCTGATGGCATATCTTCCAGCACATTTGAGGCAAAGGAGTCGCTGACTAAAGCCGAGATAGAGGTGACTCCAGAGGTGACTGCAGAGGAGGGCGAATCTACCATGGTTTTGCCAACTTCAGGGCCACTGGCCGAAGCCTGCGATGCAAACAAGCCTCCCAACGTTGCACCGATGAAGGATGAGCCAGCAGGTCAAGCAGCTGATGTTGCACCAGTGAAGGATGAGGGAGCAGATCGCAGCAAGGCATCTGCCGTTGGGACATCTGCCAGCACATTTGAGGCAAAGGAGTCACTGACACTAGCCAAGCTGGAGGTGTCTACAGAGGTAGGCGAGTCTGCCAAGGTTGTGTCGACTCCAGAGCCACTGACCGAAGCCTGTAATGCAAGCCAATCTCCTGAAGTTGTGCCGACGAAGGATGAGGGAGTGCAAGGAAGCAAGGCAGGTGCTGATGAGCTGTCAGGCTGCGCAATTGAGGTGGAGAAGTCGTCGAATGAATCAAAGGCAGCCGTGTCAGCCCAGGATGGCAAGTCTGCAGAAGTGGTGTCAGTGCCAGAGCTGCCAACTGAAGTCTGCGACACAAGCCACCCTTCTGAAGTGCCAGTGGAGGTACCAGTGGAGGACAAAGAAACTGATGGCAGAAAGGTATTAGGTGATGAAATATCAGGCAGCACAAGTGAGGCAGAGAAACCTCAGCCGGCAGCAGAGGCAGTGGCATCTGTGGGTTTAGAGGAATCGGTGACAGCTGTGTCAGCGCCTGAGCCACCAGCCAAAGCCTGTGATGCGAATAAACCTCGGGAAGAGGCGCCAGTCAAGGATGAGGAGTTGGATCGCAGCAAGCCTCCAGCTGATGCTATATCAGGCAGCATAATTAAGGCAGACAAGTCCCCGATTGAAGCAGATATAGTGGTATCTTCAGAAGGAGGTGAGCCGGCCAAGGTTGTGCCAGGCCCAGTATCACTGGGCGAAGCCTGTGATCCACACCAGCATCATGAAGAGGTCAGGGCAACAGAGGGGGCAGAATCTAGCAAAAACAAGGCAGAGTTAGAGAAAGAGCCAGACAATAGCCACGATGCTGAGGCTCACAAAGGCGCTGAGGAAAAGCAACCTCCTCCAGATGCTGATGTGCTGCAACCTGTTGATGGATGTGACTTCAGCAGTGAAGACACAACTTCTGCCAAGCATGCAACTGCCGAGGGTGGCAAAGTGGCACATTCTGAACCCGTGGCTGAGAAGGCATTGTTAAAAGTTGGTGAGGCTGTGGTTGATGTGGAGCCACCAGCAGTGCATGTGCCAATTGTCGATTGTGTAGCTACTGAAGCTGCCCCAACAGAGGTGCCGCCAAAGAGTGTTGCCAACTTCGAGAGCACTGGTATAACCCCGGCTGCTGAGGAAATGTGCAAGGACAACAAGCCAGAGGAAGTTGTTGCCAGTGCCTCGGCTGTTGTGCTGAAAGAAGAATACGGAACCCCTGGCGATGCTGCGATTGCCCCTCCTGAGGCACATGCCAAGGACTTTCAGCCAGAGGCAGCTGTTGGGGACTTGGATTGTAGTGCAGCTGAGGACAAGAGTGATGCCAAGATTGAACACCAGTTGGAGCTGCCAATCGATAGCTCTGAGGTAGGCCAAGCTGCTGCCAAAGCTGAAGACCCAACTCTCAAGCATGCAGGTGGTGCCGAGTGTGATAAGATGCCAGTTCCGTTGGCAGCAGAACCAACTTTTTCTGGGTCGACTGGCGGCTTGCCAGCCGATACAAACGATGCTGAGTACAAGGTTGAGGGAGCAGCATTTTCAATATCAAACCAGGCCACTGACATAGCACAATTCACTGCTGAGGCTGGTGGTCCCATGGACAGGGGTGGGAATGAGACAGCAATAGTTGATGAGCAATCGAATGTGGTAGCATCGGCTGTGACGCATGTACCAGATGAAGATTGTGGGAAGGCCCAGGATAGTGCTGCAAATGTTGCAGATGAGGGCAATTGTGGCAGCAAACTGGCAGATGCTGCGATGCTGATTGAAACAGATGGGGCAGAAAAAGGTGCTGACGTCGCACATCAGGCCACACCAAATGCTGACAGCGTAGCTGCTGATGGTTGCAAGGCACTGGATGGTGCAACACAAGACAGCAATGCAGAAACAGGGAAATCGAAAGACACGCCTGTTGAGTTTGTGTCCAGGGAGGCTGTTGAAGCCAGATGTGTTCATGAAGCATCAGCTGTGCTGGTGCCCACTGAAACTTGTGAGGCTGGTGCTGGACAAGAACAGTTGTCATCGACAGTGGAAGGCGCTGAACACAATGAGGCCAAGGGTGATGATGCACCTTCCATTGTGGACAAGCCAGCTGAGAGTCGTGAGGCAAAGCAGGATGTTCCTCAAGGAGCGCAAGGCCTCTGTGAAGGGAACGGTGGGGCTATGACTGATGAACAGCTGCAGGCTGTGGTGGCGACGAACGGGACAGCATTGAAAGAGGGAGAGGAGAATGTTGAAGGTACCCCTGTAGCAGGTGCACCTGCAGCGAACAGTGATGTGCAGGACGTCCCAGATGAAAAGGTTCCTGTGGTGCAGGAAACAGTCGAAGTCTGTGAAATGGCACTAGTTGACAGTCTGCCAGAAGCTGCAGGAGTGGCCAAGAGCTCTGAGGAAACAGATCCCTTGCCGGTCGATGTAACAGCAACAGCTGGATTGGAGGCCGTGGCTTGCATAGAGTCCCCAATAACAGAAGAACAGGGGTCTTCTGCCATCACTGCTGACGACCAAGGTGCGTCTCGCTTTAGAATGCACACATGTAACCAGTGGAAGAAGGAATGCCATATGTTTTAGCTGTTGAGTGTGATGCGCACAAGTGGACAGCTCCATGTGCTTTAGCTAATGGCTGCCTGCACTGGTGATGTTGGCAAGCTGAGTGTACTAGACAACATTTTTTTGAATAGAATAATTGAGCAAACGACTGAGTGTAAACGAACACTTCATTGAATTAAAAGTGATGTGCCAGAGAATCGTGTGCTCCAATAGGTGCTAAACCTGATCTGATTGTGCATGCAGCAGAGGAAGCAAAGAATGAAGACGCAAATGGTCGGCAGCCTGCAGAGGTTCCGTCTGTGCTTGGAAATGAAGCCTCCGCTGGTGATCTGGAAGAGGAATGCAAGGAAGATGTTGTTTCTGAAAAATGTGATAAAGGAATGGACACTGTGTCCCCAGCAACTAAAGCTGATGCTGCAAAGGCCACTGAGCAGGGGGCAATTGAAGGCGATCGACAATTGGATGATGCCGATCAGTTGATAGTGACCCCTGCTGATGGTCAAACCTATGCATTGCAGGAGCCCGAAAGTTTGGTCGAACAATCTGCTTCTCTAGACACAAAGGAAGGAAGTGCTGCCGAAGACACGTTGACTGTGGCTGAGCAGAGTACACTGCGTCAGACTGTGCCCTCATTTGTGGTGCCAGGGGTAGCACCTGGGGGCAGGCCTATTGACGTTTCTGCTCGCTCTGAGCTGAGCGATGAGCCTTGGAGCATGTGTGTGGAAACTGGAAGCAGACTGTCGATGGGATTGGGCAGCGATTTAGGCGATGATGTTCTTGGTACTGAGTGGGCTGCTGGGCGTGCAGCTGCCAGCATTGCAGTGAATGTCCAGAATGAGAGTAGTGGTGCTGAAGGCATTGTGAAGCAAATTGTCGAAGACATATTCGCAAGGGTTGCCGGCCAGGAATGCAGGATGGGAACTTTTGTCAATGAAGAGGTTGGGAAAGTCGATGCAGTTGCAGATGCAGCTCCTGCAATTGAAGGTGGTGAAAGTGCAGTGATGGCTGATTCCGAGAAAGCTGCTGAGGCAATCGTGAAAGATGTTTCTGATAAGATCGCTGCTGCACTCCAAGACCAAGGATGGTCATGAGGTGGTACAATATGCTAATCCAGGACAACAGAGATGCTGATGGTCTCTTGACATGCGCGATGTGTATGTGTGAGCGATAACTACGCAGATCGCCTAGACGCCCAGACACATTTTGGCCTCTTGGGAGCAGTTTCTGAAACTTGGAAAATGGCAACTCGTTTGATGGTGGCGGCAAGTGTCACATAGGCATTCGAGGCATCCTTGCCCGCTGCCCAGGTTTGGCTCTCCTCACCCCACGATCGATGCCCACCCGCCCCTGCACTTTCCTGACTGCCCATGCCTATGGCGCCCAGGGCCTGGAATAGCATTGCCGACGGGGTCAGAGCCGTCAGGTTTTCTGAGCATCAAGCCTGAAGCACCACGGTGTGCTCACGCAGAGACAAGGCACTCTGCATGCCTCAGCCGTATTGCCACCAGAATGCCGTCAGTGCGGGCTTTTGGGTGTGAAGAAGTTTTTGTTGTGCTCGCAATTTTGACGTGGTTGATTTCTCCGAGGAGTCGTTTGGGCCTGTGTGCTTGGAAGGGTACTGGTTTAAAATTTAGAGGCAACATGACATTTAGTCGGACAGAGGATCGAACTCATGGGAATCCATCAGCCACGGGAGCTGGTCTAAAACTTGCATTGGGGAACTGTCAATAGCGCCTTCCAGCGTCTGGCTTTTGTGGGCGCTGCCTGCACCCAGCGCTGGTTCGTGGGTCTCCTGACAAGTTTTGCTCTTTGTTCTTGCGGGGGAAGTTGTCAAGATGAAAGCTTGTGCTTGAGACGAAGGGCGGCGGCACTTCTGTCACCGACTGAGATTGGACGGCATAAATGCCCGTTGACGCTCCCCAAGACGGACGTTGGAAGGGGCACACACCAATGATTGCATTTACTTAAAATGGGCCATTGGGAAGTGTGCACGCCTGCCGTTGCTGAACAGTGGCGTATGAGAGGTTGCAAAGCCGCTTCTGGAGGCACCAGGAGTGGCCATGTTGGTTTCCGAGAGAGTGAAACTTCCCACTGTTGAAAAACATAGAAGGGCTCAAAATGTGCAGAACTGTCGCCTGCCTTGGGGCCTGCGACCACGGATGAAGCCGGTAAAGTGATATCGTTTCAACATGCATGAAAGCAGTTAAAGAGGGATCTTTACCGTTGTAAAACCGGGGGTATGCATAAGTGCGGAACCTCCCAAGGAGTAGCAGTCCCGTCCGGGTGTTACATTTCAAGGCATGTCATTGCCGGCGACTCGTCGGCGCGGCGTATATACCATGTGTTCATGGGTTGCCGCGTTCTCGCCGTAGCAAGCGCCTTAGGAATTCAGGGATATTGTTGAGGATGCAGACAACCACAACGTGGCGTGGTCACTGTGCTGGCTAAACGATGACCGTTTGGTGCCAAAGGGAGGGTGATAACGGTGGGCGCGCATTTGGGCGAATCACTCTCATGGAGGCACTTGAACGTGGCGTGGCAACAAGCGCTCTGGCACCCTGCCTGTAGATCTACAGGGCAGTGCGGAGACAGAAGCGTCCAGGCAACTTACAGGATGCTGGTTCATTGTCATTCCGATAGAAGGCAGTTCAGGTTCCTATCGCTCGTCCATGACGATCCGAATTCAAAACCTGGATGCAGCGGACGCGATGGACATGTGGGGAACGCATTGGCTGTCACTCTCACGTCATGTACGTCGTCATAGTGCGCAGATATGTGCGTCATGCACGTCACACCAAGTAAATGGGCATGGAGAAAGCATCACCGCTGAATATGACCACTACACTGAACTGGCTGGGTCGTTGAAATTGGTTCTGGTATGTTTTATCATCCCAGATGGGAAGCCCTATGATTGCAGCATTCTTGTGGCCGCCCGTGGCGACATTGCGATTTTGTCGTGGCGACCCAATCACGATATTGCGATATTGTCTTCACGAGACCGCGGCGTCCTCGTTCTTTACGTAGTAGCCCTTGCGCTGACCTTACCGCCTGTCGTACCGCAGGCTAATGGCAGCGAATGGCACCGAGGGTGATTGGCCCTGACAGCATTACACTTTTGATACCCAACTTGGGTATGACACGTGAGGAAGTTCACAATTCAGTGGCGCATTTGTGTTGCTGCACTTCTCCAAGTGCTACATGGACATGCAACGCATTCTGTCACTGAAGATTAAGGATGGTGGCTCCGCAAGGACTTGACAAAGCACCACGCACCCACAAATGTCCAATACCCTTCATTTCTGCCTTACCGGTCTCCTGAGCCCACCCCGTCATGTACCCCATGACAATAATTACAAACAACCGTCAATCGTCACATTCCCGAGGTTCCCGTCCATTAAACTTGCCCTTTCGCTTCGCTAGTACTTCAATGCCACTTCAGTGAGTGACTCCCCATGAGTCAGCTCCCTTTCCCGTACTTCACTCCCTCAACTCCCTCACCATCCCACAACTAACCCGAACTCCACTATCCAGGGCGGGAGGGCTGGGTGCGAAACAAGATAAGGAGGGGAACCGAGGGGCTGCCTAAATAGCCGCCCCCCGCCGCCCCGCCAAAGCCCGCCAAACTCGAGGGCGCCCTCGCGGGCGGCACCTCGGAATACCGTACTTTGACTGACCCACGGTACTAGGGGTGGCCAGAAATCCCAAGGGACGGGGTTGAGTAAACCCCAGGTTCAAACTGCACCGTTTGAATCGCCGGTGCAGCCCACCCAACGTCTCCCTTGGCAGAAACCCATTAACAGGATAGTTAACTTCATTTCTGCCTTACCGGTCTCCTGAGCCCACCCCGTCATGTACCCCATGACAATAATTACAAACAACCGTCAATCGTCACATTCCCGAGGTTCCCGTCCATTAAACTTGCCCAGTCACTCTAGGGAACGCGAGGCCCCTCCGGGGCAGAAGATGTGCCCAAACTGCTCATGCAGGTCGCGGGCGGTGATGGTCATCCAACCAAAGAGCCGAAAATCCCACTCAGTGGGTAAACGGAAAATATCAATGTAGGACCACAGAGCGTCTGACTTCCACCCACCCCAATCCCGGATGCGCCGCTCCGCGACCTCCAAGGCGAAGCAGCTGGACGCGCCCCCACCGCGCAGACCATGATGCGTGAAGGGCTCGTGGGCCAGGTCCGGAAAGTGCGCGAGCAGGGACGTAAACCAGGAGGCCACCATCTTGGACGAAGGGGTGGCGTCGCCGGGCAGGCGGTAGAAATGGCGCGGCTGCTGGTCCGTTTGCGCCCAAGCTTGATCCCGAAAATGAGTCCAGCGGCGCAAAAGGGCGACGACTTCGGGAGCGCCGCGAGAAGGCCACGAGCGATAGCGCGACCGGGGCTCCTCCCCCGGGCGCAGCTTGGTCTTGCGCTCGCGAAAAACCACGACCTCCTCATCGATGCGAACGTCGTCGACCAAGATATAATGGCCCGACTGGGCCCGGTTAAAGAAAATGTAGTCGAGGTGGGCCGCACACGCCGCCCGAAGGGTGGGCCCGTCCTCGGTGGTCAGGCCGACGTCCAGGATGCGTAGAAGCAGGGACACAGGGATCGGTCGGCGATGCTGCACCGGGCTCGGGGCCGCCCGGCGCCAAGCGCGGGTGAGGATACGGGTGACCGGGTCGAAGGCCGAGAAACCCAAATGGCCCGCGACATGATGCATCATTGAAATCGCGGCCAGGTACTGGGGCAACGACCGCACGCCCACCTTGCCCTCCTCCCGAAGAAAACGAATGTATCGGTAGATCGACGCCCGTCGGGCGGGCAGCGCGACCAGGTCGTTGGCCTCGCAGAATCGCTGGAAGCGCAAGAACTTGGCCTGGAGCGTCCGACGAGTGGCGTCCGTGTAGGATGCCAGAAACTGATGCTCCATCCAGCAGCGATCGTCACGGAGCAAACCGTCCAGGTCGGTGCCGTACAGGGGGTCATCCTCCGCCAGCGGCTCCAGCGGCAAGGCATCCCCCGGATGGTCCCCCGGCGGAGAGGGCGGAACGTCCGGCGGGATCACGCCTTCCTCCGATTCGGTCTCAGATGGCGCGTCGTCCGCGGGCACACATGGAACGCCCGTAGGTTCCACCGCGGAGGGGGCAGAGACGCCGGGAGAGTCGGGTCGCCGGGGAGAAAAAGGTCGGCCTGGCGGGGGATGAACATTTCCGCCCGGGCGATCGCTCGGAGCGGGCGAAACCACACCGCGCTCGGCCAGTCCGGCGCCAGCACCACCGCCTCCAGCGTCGGCCGTAAGGCGAGGAAGGACACGAGCTTCGCGAGGAGGCTCCACGGGGGATTGCACCAGGACCTGGTGCCGCTCCAATCCTGCTGGAAAGCATCCACTCCTGCCGTACCGACGTCCCAGTACTGACTGTTGAAGCGGGCGCAGAGGGCATTCCGGGCGGACGCGAATCGGTCCACAGAACAGGCCCCGAAGCTGCGGGCGACCTCCCGGAATATGCGCGGATTCAGGCGGTAGTCCTCCGAGGTCCGTATACGGGAAAGCCGGTCCGGCAGTACATTCTCGGCGGAGGGAATGTACTCCGGCTCCAGGAGAATCCGGCGTGCCGTACAGACGGCCTTCAACTGGCGGAGGGGCCTCAGGAGACTGGTGGCCCGGGTAGTCATGGAAAGGATACAGTGCAAGACCACCTGGTTGTCCACCAACAAACGGACCCGCCGGGAAGTCGTCCCGGAGTACTGGCGAGGAAAGAAACTGAGCAGTGCCAAGTACACGGCCTGCATTTCACGAACATTAATGTGAATAAGGTCCCGATCAAAAAAGCCCCTCGCAAGCATGGGGGCCGGGTGACCCAAAGGCTGAAAGGTCGCTCCCCAACCCGTCAGGCTGGCATCCGTCGCCAGGGTGCCAAGCAAAGGTAACGAAGCCGGTTGGAGAGCCCGGCCGGCAAGCCTGGAAAGGTTGGTCCAGGCCAAAAGGTCCAGGCGGGCTTGGGGGGTCAAAGGAAGCCGATCCCGCCAAGAACGCTTCCCTCTCAATAACGCATAGAGACTCATCAAGAAAAAACGGGCCAATGGAAAAGCCAAATAAAGGGAGATGGCAGAGCCACAGAATTGTGCCAACTTCCGCGCCACGACCACACCCGAATGGAGAATGGCACGAGCACGGGATGCAATGGCAGCTGCCTTGTCCGGAGGCACCAGAAATTGGCATCGGGCGGTGTCAATAATCACACCCAAATGAGTCTTCCGCTGCACCGGCTCCCACTGGCATTTTGAGTGTTTGAATTCAATCCCAAGAGCATGGAAAACCCGTTGGACCAGACTGGACCATTCCCGCAAATGGACCGGATCAGACATGGCGGCAATGAAATCGTCCAAATATGCTAAAATTAACGCGGGAACCTCCCGCGAGTACTTTAGGTAGTACTGTACAATGGAATCATTGCCCGCTAAATAGCCAAATCGAAAACGAGTTCCAGCCCCTGGACATGCATTAGGGGTCCTTAAGAAACGGACCACAATGAGCATGACATGAGTGAAATAAAAGGGGGCCAAAGAAAGCCCAAAGGGCAGCGCCCGACAAGCGAAAATCTCGCCACCCATTCGAAAGAGCAAGAAATGCTCTTGATCGGCTCGCATCCGAATGTGATGGTAAGCATTCTTCACGTCGAATCCCACTAGAAAGTCATTCTGCTGCAAAAGAAACCCGAAATCCTTCAAGCGCTCGTAGCGGAGACCGACCTTCTTGAGATGGCGGTTGATCCGCCGAAGATCGATGACCAAACGGTACTTGGTCTTCCCGTTCTCCGCCGGCTTGGCCACCAAAAAGGCGCGCGAAATTCGGGTGCTGGAAGAGACCTCCGTCCGGTGGATTGCTCCCGTCCGCAGGTACTCGTCGCGCAACTCCCGCCATGCTTGCCATTCCGCCGGGTCCCGGAGTGGGTACTCGCCTTGGTCGAACGGAGGCGGAGGGCCCCCCGGGCCCCACTGGAGCGGTGCCCCCGTATGAATCCATTGAAGCACTCGGGCGGGGGCGCCGATGCGGCGCCAGGCCGCGAGACGGCCTTGGAGGCGCGCGTAGGGGGGGGCTTCTAGGCAGTCGGCTTGGGAGGCGCTGGCGGGGCGCCGGACGTCTTGGGTTTGGCGCGTTGATGCTTGGCGCCGGTGGAAGGACCGCTGAGGGGCGGGGCTGCGGAAGCTTGGCGGTTGAGTTGCGCCTGATGCTGAGCCGCCGCGGACTTCGTCGCCAACTTGAGTTGTTGATTGAGGACCTCCTTGCGGATGTGCTCGAGGGGCTCGTCGATCAATGGGTCCCAGAACCGGCGATGCACGGCGCCCAATCGTACGTTGGTCTGAAGCGCCTTCCACAGACCGTCGAGGGAGGTGCCCTTCTGCTCGCCGTGGACTTGCTGAAGTCGGATCAGGCTCTGAAGACGCGACGTGATGGTCACTTGGGCATGGACGTACGGAAGGAGGGCCTCCCGGAATTTTGGGGGGAAGGCCGGATGCGCCACGAAGTCGATCAGCGCGGCAGTAAGGTCGAACTGCCACGCGACATAGGGGGCCCAGTTCTGATACTCCTGGAAGTACCCGGAGTTGGCTCCCAGGGCCTGCGCGAGCTGCTCGCCTTCGGAGGTGTGGCGGACGTCGAACCACTCGGGGAAGCGTACGCCCGGAGGTCGGACCACCGGGTTGGTCACCGCTTGCGGTAGGAGCCGGGGGTCGGATAGCCAGACTTCGTCAAGGGAAGCCGTAGGCGGACCGTCGTTGAACCGAACCGCTTGGTCGTGCAGCCACTGCTCGGCCAGAGAACGGTTCATAGAAAGGACTCGGCCGTAGCCGGAGGGACAAGGCACTCGGTGCCTGCGGGTTGTGCCAACGCAGTGGCGCGAAGCGAAACAAGATAAGGAGGGGGACCGAGGGGCTGCCTAAATAGCCGCCCTCCGCCGCCAAAGTCTTCCTCAAATTGAGGCCTCGCTGGCGCACCCCTCGAATACCGCATTTGATCGACCCACGGTACTAGGGGTGGCCAGAAATCCCAAGGGACGGGGTTGAGTAAACCCCAGGTTCAAACTGCACCGTTTGAATAACGTTCCACCCAACGCTCTTTCAAGTAAAACCCACAACGTAGTCATGACATTCATGAAGATCACGAAAGTCAATTTCGGGTTTGGGGTGTGGCGTTTAGGTTTTAGGTGTTGTTTTAGGGTGTTGTTCTAGGTGTTTTGTAAGCTCACAATTGTAGGTCTCTAATACACTTCATGACCCCTTCATGATCTGCAAATCCGGCAATGATGGGTATGGGACAATCCTCCACTCCCCGGTATCGTGGAAAAGGTTTTGCGACATTGTTGGTATTAGGATCGGGGACATGCTGCATCAGCCGTTGCGCGCAGGGGACGTTTCCGTCGTACTGGTACTTTGATGTGGACGGAGAATCTGGTTCTCTTCTTCAAGGATAGATGGGGGCGGGGTGGTCTTCCCCATTGCCCCTGCCATCCCTATATCATGGCCCGAAACCATCCGTTGGAGGCAACAACACAACGTGACAACAAATATTGACTATAATCGAATTGAGCACAATATAGAGGACAAGAGGGCCCTCGTTCTCCTTGAGCTCCCTTGAAGAAGCAGACGCTGAAGATGTCCAGGATTGTCCCATGGTGACAATGAAAAAAGTTTTTCATGATGGATGAAGTTTTTGATGATCGCAAAGCCGCCGAAATACATTGGTGCGGGAAGAGTACATGAGCATATCGAAATTCGATCAGAGCGTCGGTGAGCATAAATACGGGACAATACAACGTGTAGTTGTGGTGCGCTTAGCATCAAATTGACGCTCAGACCCCATGCCCCTCCCCCTCTTAATTTCCCGCTCTCTTTTCGTCAAATCATGCCCCCATCATGCCAATACCAACCCTCGTGTTGATGTTGGAATCATTCAGCAAGGACACGAACACAACGTCCATAAGCTCTCAAGAAAAGCGAACAGGCAGAGCGGCAGGGACAATACAATGTGGAATATGGGAGACTTGAAGAGATGGCAGGCGATTGGGACAGCTCTGGAGTCTGTGAATTGAGGAATTTTGAGGGATTAGGCAAAGATTGAACGGTTTAGAAAGGTGTCTGCACATGTCGCGACTCGTGTGCCGCTGGTCAGCAATGGCTCGCTGTTAGCACTTATGGATTTTGCGGCATTCACTCCCTCCGGTGTGCCTGCTTCTTGCTTTTCGTAGTGATCGTGTTGCGCGCTCTTCCTCTTGCACCGGAGACTCATCATCATCCTTTTACAGCACGGCGCACAGTCACCCACACAGTTGCTTAAGAGGGGATGCCCTTCGTATGACCTGTCTCTCATTCCCTTTCAACAAAGCTTACTACCCAAAATCTCCGCCCAATCACACAGTAACTTTGGCACCTGTAGAGGGTGTCCAACTAGGCACAGCCAGGTCCCAAAGGTCTTAAAATGAATAATGCCGGAGTCATTGCCATCAAACCAGTCACATGGTCGATGGCAAAGAAAATGTGTTACAAAATATGTACCTCCGTCATTGTGCCGAAAGCCCTGTCTTGGTGGTCGTTCGGGATTTAATGGGAACAGCAACCACCAAGGAGACGGAGGGAGATGTAGGGTGCCGGCGGCACGTCACCCTGGCAACGTGGCATTGGCCGTCCCTTGGTGCTCTTCTCTTGCTGGCCTCGTTTTCCTCTGGGGCGCTGGTCGCCGCATTCGAAACGCTCCCCAGGCAGATCGGCTTCCAGTCGGCCACACGCAGAGTGGAGGTGTCGCTGTTGGCGAAAGCCAGATTCTTGCTGTGCGCTTGCAAATTGCCACTAACTCTTTCCGAGGCTACCAACCGAGGGCCCCTAGCGAGCCAGTCAGTAGAATTATCGGCATGAGCGGATTTGGCTCATGCCTACACACCATGAAGCCCTCGGGGCCCTGCCTACCCGCATACGGGTGGGTTCGGAAGGCAGGGATGGCACGGACATCGCGCGCCCTGTCGTCTGTGGCCAGGATTGCTCGCCATGCATTGAGGCCGCCCCTGTCGAGAGGATTGATCGGATCGGCAGCTAGGAGTGCCGCAGAAGTGGCATATGGCGGTAGGCCACTCAAGAGATCGTCTTTGTTCTCCTGCAAACAGTAAGTGGAACCTTTGGCGTTGCCATTTGAGTCTGTCAATGGACCAATGTAGCACGATGGGTTGCCTGAAATAGGTTGAAATGACTGTGCAGCCCTTCGCAGTGACTTTAAGTATGGGCAAACGTGAAATGGCACAAAATTTTTGGTATGCGCTGCTGGGGTCACGATGAATGTCATCACTTATTTCTTGTTTCACAGTCCAGAAGAAAGGTTGTAACGGCACTTGGTTACTGCCGAAAACTGAGCTGCAATTTGTTTGATTCTGAAAGTTGCTATTGCTCAGCAGAAATGCACTGCGGCGAATACGCCTTTGACAAGTGGAACCCCGTTTTTTCCTGTGTTTTCATCTTTGTTGCAGTGTTGGCAATGCATGGGACGCAGGTACGAAGCACTTGATGTCTTGTTTTTGACTGCCCTCGTGTGCAGACATTCCACCAGGCAGCGCTGTCGGCTGCGGGTACGGATAATGTCAGCTGCAAATCCCCAAGGTGGGGGTAAACGAATATCCCAGAGTGATTTCACCGAGAAGAGCTGGCAGGTGCGATATTATGATCACTCTGCTCACCACGATGCCAGCAGGTGAAACCTGATTCATGTGTTATCTGATCGCTTTTTGAAGCCCTTCATGCCCTTGCACCAACGAAGGTGATTACTATCAATGGTGACAGGAATGAGAACAGTGTGATAGGAAAGACTGTAGTAAATGCTGCAGAAATGCTGCTGGAAGTATGTGGAAAGGGTGTTCAACGGAAGTTTGCAAAGAAGCTGCAGGAAAATAAGTTGCTAGCAAACACTTCATGCAAGAGTTGTGGATACGTCTGAAGTCTACTGACAGCTATTCCAGTGGGCCCTGTGCATCTCACTTGTGTGCACTGGCTCTCCCAGGCAATAGTGGCTGCCCCAGAGATCGCCAAGGACTACAGTCAACAAGTTGTTGAAACTGAGCACCTTTTCAAGGCGCTTCTGGAGCAGCCTAATGGTTTAGCAAGGCGAATCATTTCCAAGGCTGGTGGGGATCCCACTGCTCTACTGGAGGCCATCGATGATCACATCCTGAGGCAGCCACGGGTGTCTGGTGAATCTGCACAGGTAACGCCATCAGGGCCTTGATCCTCAATGGAAATGAACCAAACAGTGTGGAATGCAACACATGGCTGAGGATGGTGTGCATGGTGCCTGCAAACGTGCAGAAACTGTAGTCCATAGCTGAATCTGCATCGCTAACCATGAAGCTGCTTTGTAGAGCGCTGGTTTGCTGCCACTTGGGATAGTTGGCTACCTTGTCCAACAACGATTGTTGGTTTGCATAGAATTGATGGCACAATCATTGAGATATGATGTATGTGCCACGTTTCTTGTTTGATTGCAGCTGTCAGTTTGTCAAGCCCAATGTCTTCAAACTGAGTAGACAAAGATTTCTTTCTCATTTTTAGACCTTGGTCCTTCTCATGCCTTTGACTTTCTCTTCAGGCTTATCTCCATTCCGGCGATTGTTGAGGCATTTAGGCTCTTGCTCTGGCATTTGCCACAAGTGCTGCATGTCTGTGTTGCCTCCATGGCAACTAATTCCAAACGCCTTTGTTTGAATCTTGTGGCAGGTGTTGGGCCGACACCTGGAGGGTGTGGTGGAGAAAGCCCAACTACTCAAGAGCAAATGGCGGGACAGTTTTGTTTCAGTTGAGCATCTTGTCCTGGGGCTTGCTCAGGACGTCAGATTTTGCGAGGTCCTTCTGAGAGGCAGGGGTTTGACCTATGACACATTGTTGAAGGCAGTGGAAGAGATCCGTGGGAGTACAAGGATCACTGATCAGGTGTGGTTGGCAGCACCATTTTGAAAGGAACAGTGGATTGTTTTAGTGGCTTGTTATTATTTATTATTATTTTAATGGATTGTTCTCCTCCATGCCAGTGCCAATTGCTGTTCCTGTACTTTGCAGACTTTGGACAATGTCCATGCCACAGTTGCTTGTGGATATGGCCATCAAAATCGCTTTCAGCACCGCCCACCAGTTGTGTGCAGGATTATTTTCAGAGAGCATACAAGGGTGTGTTGCAGCAGATGCATACAATTTGATGGAGGGGAATGCATTATCCGGTGTTGCCTTCAGTGATTGAGGCAGCTTGCCTTCTCAGCAGTTGAAATGTAGATATTTAACGCCTGCAAGCAGCAAATTGGTGAGCAGATGGCAACTACTACACCCACACTTGCTAGATTCTGACCCAGCATTTGTCTTTCATGTAATCTTTTCTGTTAAAGCTCCCTTTCATTTTCCCGAGGCAGATGGGTTTTGGATGATTGTCGTAGCTCACTCAGATTTGGAATTCTTGCCATTGAAAACTTATTGCAGAAACCATCAAAAATGAGACAGTTTGTTGAATTCGTGATGCTGTGGCTGGTGTTGGCAAAGCACTTGTGACAGTTCAGGACGCTTGTATGGGCCTTGTTTCTTTGCAGGATCCTGAGGGGAAGTATGAAGCACTGGCGAAATATGCCCGTGATTTGACGGAGGCTGCAAGGAATGGCCAGCTGGACCCAGTGATTGGGCGCGACGATGAAATACGCAGATCAATCCAGATCTTGTCTCGTCGCACCAAGAACAATCCAGTCTTAATTGGAGAACCTGGCGTGGGCAAAACTGCCGTTGCTGAGGGTTTGGCGCAGAGAATAGTTGATGGTGATGTTCCGGCAGCACTACAGGACAGAGTCCTGATGGCTTTGGACATAGGCTCGTTGATTGCGGGCGCCAAGTACCGGGGGGAGTTCGAAGACAGGCTGAAGGCAGTCATCAAGGAAGTGACAAGCTCAAATGGCAAGATCGTGCTGTTCATTGATGAGATCCACACTGTGGTTGGAGCAGGTGCAACTCAGGTAGAATGCCTGTTAGTCCACGTGGGGACTGGCTGTACAACCCTGTGACTAGCTTGCTGTGTTTGTGAGTGATGGTGTTGTTGAAGATATTTCTCTTAAGTATTGACACAGGTGTTCCCACCCGTTTGTATCTCATCACTGAATGTGGGGCAATTATAGCCTGCCAGAACAAGAGTTTGTGAGAGTTCACCCTGCTTCAGTGTGCTTGCACGTTGAAATGTCCATCAGAATGGTGAACATCGCAAGAACACTGCCCTTGTGTCTCAAGGGGATGTTGGACAGTTTGACAACATCATTATATGTCACAAAAGCCATGAGCAGGCTGCCTGAGGATATCGCACATATGCAAAGTGCTGAAATCACTCCTGCCCACTTGTCCTGGCACGGAAATTGGCTGTCCATTGTGAGCGCAGTCAACATATTGGCAAACCAACCCCTCACAACAGGCAATGCAATCTCTTAACACGGAATGAAATGCAACATACACATCCAACTGCACACATAGCAACCTATGCTCCCAGCTGCCTCACAACTGGACAAGAGATCAGAATCTGAAAACAGAGCTGATACCTAACAAATGATTTTACAGTTCTGCCTAGGAATTGAGGCATGCATGGTGGTGATAGTGCAGGTTGGTGGTGGGAACTCCTCTCACAACAAATTGATCCCGTGTTTTGGCACATTTCCAATGCACGAAAAATGTGATGCGGCAAGCAGCTATGGCACATTTGTGCAGGTTTCATATTTCCTTCATGCTGTCCGTCATGGGATGAGGCAGTCAGTTGAATCAGAATGCCATCATTTGTTTCAGCAGATGTTGCTTGGGAGCTCACTCCCTTGGGTATGTGTATCTTTAAACATTTTTACCTGAAGGCCAGCGAAGTAATAGCAGTCAAAGCAATGTGGCTGTTGCAATGTCGCTGCTGTTTTGAATGATTTCATCGCCATGCAGGGTGCCATGGATGCAGGGAACTTGTTAAAGCCCATGCTAGGACGTGGAGAATTGAGGTGTATTGGGGCCACCACTCTAGATGAGTATCGCCAGTACATTGAGAAGGATGCTGCCCTGGAACGGCGTTTCCAGCAGGTGTACATAGATCAGCCAACCGTAGCACAGACGGTGTCAATTTTGCGTGGACTGAGAGAAAGGTACAGAATACTGAAGACTGCAGCTACAAGGGTCTCGGCAAAATGGTAGATGCCGATAGGTTGACAGTTGGATTTGTGACCTTGGTGTTTGTGAGTATGTTTGCCTTCCTTGGGCACACAGTGCCCCTGTACCTTGATGTGATGACTGGCAACTGCAATATCACAAAGATGCTGCCCATGATTGCAGATTCAGAACAAGTGCTTCCCACGGCGGTGGCAGTTGGCCTTTTGAACAATAGTGAAACAAGGGCATTCGTGAATGACATAATCAGTGCCAGATTGATGCTCATGTGTTTTATTATTCAGGTATGAACTGCACCATGGCGTTCGTATATCTGACACAGCACTTGTAGAAGCAGCAGTGCTGTCTGATCGCTACATAGCTGACCGATTTCTACCAGACAAGGCAATTGACCTGGTGGATGAGGCCGCTGCCAAGTTGAAGATGGAGATCACCTCAAAGCCCCTTGCCCTGGATGACATTGACCGCAAAGTTCTTCAGACAGAGATGGAGATCAGGGCCTTGGCCAAGCCAAGTTCATCAGACAAGCAGGCAGCCCGTAGGTTCCAGCTTCTGGATGCTGAGCTTAAGGAGTTGAAGTCCCAGCAACAGACTCTGACTGAAAAATGGGAGCAGGAAAAGAAGGAGATGTCACAGCTCCAGGACATCAAGGAGGAAGTGGAGCGGGTGAACTTGGAGATCCAACAGGCGGAGAGGGACTATGATCTCAACAGGTGTGCAGTGCGCACACCACTGCAGAGCGGCAGCAGATGCGCAGGCCATTCACAGGAGGGCCGGAGCATCTGAGCACTGCCAAGTGCAGTTCAGATTTGGAAATAGAACGAACACAGGAGCGTGGATGTGCTGCATTTGTTTGATTTCATGTTGATGAAGTTCATCCCACTCCAGTTGTGTGCAGCCAAAATCCAAGCAGTTGCGGGCATGCATTTGTGTGCGCTGGGCCACATTGATTCTGGGCCTTGTTATGGTTCAGGTTCTATATTGGCATCGTAGAATGGTACCCTACAGATGCACACAGTGCCCCTCACCATTTTGTGGATGCCTGGACATGATTTGTTGACATCAGCAATGCATGTGTGTTGACGCCAGTAGTGCAATGATTCTGGCATTCCTCCTGCAGGGCTGCAGAGCTGAAGTACGGGACGCTGATTAACCTACAGAAAAAGCTGAAGAGTGCAGAGGAGGCGCTGGCCCAACATGCTGAGGGTAGCCGTATGCTCAGAGAGGAGGTTACTGAGGAGGACATCTCTGAAGTGATCTCCAAATGGACTGGCATTCCTGTAACGAAGCTCCTACAGTCTGAAAAAGAAAAGCTATTGTTGTTGAGCGAGCAACTCCACAGGAGGGTTGTGGGGCAAGCTGAAGCTGTGGAGGCTGTTGCAGATGCTATTCAGAGATCCCGCGCTGGGTTGGCCGATCCGCTGAGGCCGATTGCTTCCTTCATGTTTCTTGGGCCAACAGGTGAGGAGGACTGGAGCATAGCTGCAAGAACTGTTGGACAATGATTTGGTGTTGTTGCGTGCTGTTGTTGCTGCAATCAGGGTGTTTTGCGTTTGTCATGTCGAATCAGAGTTGCTAGGGATGCATGCCTTCACCGATGTGTACTGCATCTGCCATACCCTCTTGCTTGGTTGTCCTTTGATGCCTGCTATATGGCAGCCATGATTCTGTTTTGCATCTAACAGTTCATTTTTTGGGACATCACAATTGTGGAAGAGAAAGCTTCCAGCCTGACATCGGAGTCTGTGATGTTTGTGGGCAAGTGACTGACGTCGGAATCTTTCAGCACCAAATCCACTTGCTGATTGTTTAAATCCACTTGTTATTTCCCTGTGCAATTCCCCTTTCACAAGCAAAAAGCTTTTATCATTTTCACTGCTTGCTAGGCCCTGCCTGCCACTAGATGGCAGTCAAGGTGCATCTTTTTGCATTGCTTTTGGTCAGCTGTCAGTGCTATTCACCAGGTGCTTCCTGCAGTGGTTGGAACTGCGGCACAGTAGTCGGTGGTATGCTGAACTGTGCCACGCTCAGCTCAGTGCTGTGACTTGTTCTGTTTGACACCTGTGTGATGATCGCAACGAGTGCTGCTGTCAGGTGTGGGGAAGACAGAGTTAGCCAAAGCTCTGGCGGAGAATCTTTTCAGTACTGAAGATGCCATTGTCCGGATTGACATGAGCGAGTACATGGAGAAGCACTCTGTCAGCCGCTTGGTTGGGGCCCCTCCCGGCTATGTTGGGTACGAAGAGGGGGGCCAGTTGACTGAGGCCATCAGGAGGCGGCCATACGCGGTGGTTTTGTTCGATGAAATTGAGAAGGCACATGGAGATGTCTTCAACATCCTGCTCCAGGTGAGGTGGGACAGGGGATTGTTGAACCATGAGTGAAGCCAATATGAAAATGGAGTTGCCTTTGGTTGCTTTTGCAGTTGGTGTCGGCACAAAATAGTGCCATATCAGCATCTTTTCCATAATCAACCTGTGTGCCAGTATGTTCAGTGCACACATGGAGCAGCTCATTTAGTTTTAAGGGAAAGCACACTGTGGGCAGGGAAAGATGCAGACAGTACTTGCAAATATTCGCAGTTTTATGCAGTTTTATCTTCCGGTGCAAGCTACTTGCACGAAGGTGGAGTTGTGGATTTCCGAACGATCGTGGTGACCACTACTACGTTTAGCAGTGCAAAGCAAGCGCAGATGAAATTAACTGACTCCCAGATCCTCTTCCCAGGAAGCGTCCTTGAACTGCTTGTAGGGCGAAACATGGCAGTACGGAGTAATGGACGGGAACGGGCATTTCAAATGGAAGCTTGGAAACTTGTTGGCCAGGATACTGGATCGATTGATCTTCTTTTGTTCTTCTTGCAGCTCCTCGATGATGGGATCGTCACAGATTCTCAAGGCAGAACAGTGAGCTTCAAAAACTGCATCATCATCATGACCTCCAACCTGGGATCTTCTGCGAGTTTAGAAGAGACTGACAAGGGCAGAAGGACCGACATGGTCATGTCGCTCGTTCGCAGCACCTTCAGGCCTGAGTTTGTAAATCGCATTGATGAGTACATCATGTTCGACCCCCTCCGTTTGGAAGAAATCAAGAGCATCGTCTTGCTTCAGGTGGGGTTGTGCACAGGCCTGGCCATCGACTACACAGTGCCTCTAGCAGCTGGTGAAAATCGAGGATTGCCACTCTGTAGGCGAAATTCCAGATCTATTTTGTCTCACCTGGGCCCTGCATTCTGGTTCATGTGCACCAGCACCATACTTAATAAGTTACTTTGCAAGGAATGCCACCAATTCCAAACCTGCCGGTTTGATGCCACACTGGGACATCTCACAACGGTGCAGGTGGGCACCATCGCAGCCCCCATTTGCATTGTAAATGCCTGAGCGCACTTTCCATTGTTTGCTGAGTATTACGAAGTGATCTGCAAACACAGGCACCGACATGGCACTTAACCTGTCACAATCCGTTGGGTTACATTTTGGCAGCAAATTACAGTACTGACCTTGCGAATGCAGCGCTGTGGTTGGTGGGTAGAATTTTACCTGCATTGTTGTTCGAGAATGTTGTTCACGACTCCCCTTGAGCCAGCACACTCAAACAGCGGATTTTCTGACCGTTGGCTGCAGGCCCAGCGTCTCGCACAGCGGCTGGCAGACAAGAAGATCAAAATCGAGCTGCAGGACAGCGCCGTGGAATACCTTGCAGCGAAGGGCTTCGATCCTGTGTTTGGCGCGAGGCCTGTGAAGCGGGCGGTCCAGAGGGAGCTGGAAACCAAGCTGGCCAAGGCGATGCTGAGAGGGGAGTTCCAGGAAGAGGACACTGTGATAGTAGAGGCAGATGGTGGGCAGGAGGCAGAGGGGCTGTCGCTCCGTCGCCTTGAGCAGGCAGGCAGGAACAGCGCAGTCGGAGTGGAAGAGCTCGGGTCAGTTGAGAAGGCGTGACCTACCAGGGGTGGCGTGGGGCCACCATTTCATTCCGTTTGTCCACAATGGGGTGAAGCAGTGTCCGTGCACCTTAACCCACTGGCTGAGGTGATGCTGGGCACATGCCCATGATAGCAATGGGATTTCATAGCGGCTGTTGGAGTTGGCACCCGGGGCAGGGGAGGGGCCCCAACATGCCCTGGTCTGTGGTGGCCCAGGTGACAAAGGCGCTGGTGGGAATCTTTATTTTTTGTTTCAATCAGAATGTGTGAATGGGGTTGTACTGAATATAGAGCGGTGACCAGATCGACCAAATTTTGTGATTGCTGCGGCAGAGGAGGAAAGAATGATGCCGGTATTGAATGAATGTGGAGAACGCAGGACTGATCGGGGCGTCAATTTTGAGGCATGCACATACGCCCACAGCTGGCTTTTGGGGAGAAATTTTGGTACGAGTTAAAAGCAAGGTTGTAGAACGGGCCGCTGACTGTACCCATACAAAGGCGTTGTTTGGTTGCCCGGCACCGTAAATTTCTTGATTTTGAAGTCAATGCAGTAGTACTAAAGATATAATGTGCATGATGGGCGATGTTAGTGGCTGCATGTTCAGTTGAGGAAGCGCGAGTCACCAGTGCAGGCATTGCCATCTTGCAAATGTGCAGGATGAATTGGCGAATTTTGTTATGTATCTGCAGGACTCAAGTGTGATATGGCTATTAGCACTGACTGCATTCCGTGTCACCGTTGTCAGATGAGGACCGTGTGCATGGTGGGATGATCTGCAACACCTGCAGGGAGTTCTGCTTTTCACTCCGCCACAATGGGCCACAGATTCCAACGCACAAGCCACAGCCGCTCTGTGCACGAGTTCACGGGCACCACAGCGCCAGCCTATTCCCAGGGAGTTCATCTGTGACTGTGCCCATTGGGGCCGATGGTTTGCCACCCGCAACGGATGCTTACGGCGTCCATGTGATCAAACTTGAGCTGTACACACGGTCCAAGGGCTCTCACCTTGTCTCCCGCCGGTGCACCTGCCACCATGGCTGTGCACAAACGCCAGGCCTGCTTCCAAGGTGCTGACCACAAGGTCACAGCTCCTTGGTCCCTGCAGTTCTCGAGTTCTCGAGGGCAGCTTGGTTCCCTGTTGCTCGCCGGTACACTTTAGACACATCAAGGCTGGTGGCGCAACAACGATGAGCTCCAGAAATGGGCTGAGGGGTGGCATGCTGCTACCAGGTATGAGCTGTTTGAAACAGCTATAAGACATACCACAGTAGCATAAACAATAATGTACAACACGCGCGATCATCTTAGCTGTGATGCAAAGCGCTAACAAGCAGCCTCCTGGTTGGCGCCAAGCACAATCCCAAATCCCAGGCAATGCTACAAAAAGATCCAAGAAGCCAGCCTCAGAACGATAGGAACAGGAACGGGAATTCTTTCAACACTCACTGTTGGTTCGAAATGACAAGCGTGGTACACTTTCGAGGCGACAGAAGGCAAGGTACCCAGATCATCGGTTCCTTCCAGGATGGCATTCAAGCTGCTAGGAACGTACTCGCCGTGTGGTGAGTGGTGAAGGGCACGTTGTTACTGTGAACGGCAGCATCCACGCGTGGCTGCACTCTGCACGACCGCTAGGCAATGGACAAGCAGCAGATGCAGAGTCTATGGGCGCCTCAGTGCACAAGCGTCCCCACACGACCTCATATAGCGATGGGCTGCTCTGGACATAGAATCTGGACTTTGTCGCCTTTGTTGATCGTATTTTGGACAATCCGCATGTGGACTCACTACATAGCCCTGAAGGTGCAAGGATTTGTGTTGTTTTCACAATCAGTCAAATGCAGGTTTGTACCACCGATGCACTGCAGCTTAATGTGTGCCACACCACCTCCTGCAAGAATCATTGATGGGCAGCACGGATCAGCCTCAACCACGCTTTTTCCCATCGGAGCGCGACACTCTTGAGAGACACTGTGCCAGCGGGTAGCCATCGTCTGCCACCCCCAATCCTAACCGATCGACGCCAAGGGTGGGCCAAGGAGCGAACAATGGCTGCAACTAACCGCTTACACTATATCGCTTGCAGCTCAGCGTGGAAGCCTTCCTTTGAGCTTCCCAAACAACAAACAAAGTGTTAAGCGTCAGCAAAACGTTGCAAGCATGCACCAAAGCATTGGAATCAGTCTTGGAACAACTGATTCAATTGCAAAGGCGATCCCTGATGCTCTGAAACGTCAGGTTCCAATAGCCTTTCCCTCACGCTCTGCCACGTGGTTGCCTAATTGCGGCAACTTGTATTGAGCACTTGCAACACAGTATCTAAACTCTAGCGATGCTGGTTACTATCACCTGCAGCTAAAAGGCAGCAACATTCTCGCTCGTTGAAGCCAAGCTGTTGCACTTATCTGATGCCGTGCTGCTGTCTGGCAATATTGGACAATTTGAATTGCATTCTGAAGTCCATGAAGTGAATGCCATATCCTGCACGCCTATCTACTCGCCCTGTCGTCTCCTAGTTGCTATTTCAATCTTACATGCGAACTTGAAGTCCCTACTTCGATGTCACTGCTATGGGAGAGCCTTCCTGCCAGGTGTTAGCTGGCTTGGGAAAGTGCCGCCGCCGGGCGGCCTCGCGCCACTTGTGGAATGCTTTTGTCAGCAGAAAATGTTCATGTGTGTCCCTCTCTCGCCTACCCAGAGTGCACAGAACATGAAGTGGAATTTCAGACTGGAACAATGGGCGTGCCTGTGCCAGGAAGCGATGCGGCCATGTGCAGTGGACTTGTTCAGGATGAGTGCAGTGAGAGACCGGACCTCAGGTTCCAATGATAAAGGGGAACAGGTAAGGGTGGAATGTTGGGCGCAACGCCATCCTGTCTGCCAAGCACACAGTAGAGGGCACCCATACCACTGATCTGCGTGTACGCAAAACAAGCAGTGAGTCTGATGTGACCAGCACGCTTACTGTTATGCCAAAAGGTGCCAGGACACTGTGGCGCTGCTGAACACTGATTTTAGTGTCAAATACAGGGTAACACAGGATAGGCAACGCCCACCCAGCGTGGTCTTACCACTCCCTCCGACGTGTCCTTTTGTGCACCATCTTCTTCCAGCCTTGGAAGGCTCGATTGAGGCTGTGCCTCTTCAGCAAAGCCTCAACAGATGTGTGGTGCTCCTTGCTTGCAGTCCTCCACGCCTCAAACGCCTTTCGAAGTGGACGCTGCAGGATGCGATCCCTGAATTCTGACCACTCCATCCTCAAGGCAATGCGGCACAAGTCAAAGTCGATCTCCTCAATTCTGGTGGCCCGCTGGGGTTGCATGCCCAGCACCAGATCGGCCTTAGCCAGTTGCGACAAGGGACGCACGACTGTGGCTTGTGTGTCAGTCGCGAAGAGTCGCCGATTGTTTTCATGAACAGATTGCAGTAGGAAGTCCAGGCTGCCAACATCGGCGCTTGCTGGTGAGGAGCAAAAGGAACAGTTCAGGGTACAGAGGGAGGGAGAGTGTTCCAGCAACATAAGGTGTCTGATGCTCACAATGACACATCAACCCATGTACAGCACATTGGTGTGTGCTCTTGTCCCTGTGTCCAACTCCATTGATAACGTACATGTTACAACATGACAAGGCAAGAGCTTCACCAAGCTGGTGGTCATTTGGGAGTAAATGCAAGCACAATGTGATGTCCAGCAGATACGAGAGCTAGGATGCCAGTCCATCAAGCAAAAGTGAGAGTAACATCCAAGGACCCATGTCCTTGCGACCGGAGCTTGACATGAGCAGCGGTGAACTAACCATCTTCAATGATGGTGGATGGTGACAAGACGCAATTTTGTGCTGGCATACGATTCACTGAGACCAAACCCAGCAATCCATGCCAGGACAGGTGGCTCTTCGACACCAAGGTGCTCTGGGATAATACAATGATACCACCAGGAGGCATGTCTATGGCACCTATGAGATCACAGGTGCACACTGCCACTGCCCGTCGGCCACATGCAAGGTAGACTTCAAAAAAGGCTGGCCTGTGGACTTACTTGTCAACCACATCGAAGTTGACACACAAAAGAAAGACCACCAGTTCCACACAAGATATAGGGTGTCTGTTTCATTCAGCACTTTTGCTGCTGGCGCTGGGACACATCTGACAGGACCCAAGCTTGGACGATACTTTATGCTCTGCAAAGCCAAAGGAAACATGCCCAAGAGCTTGTGCCACGTTGAAACTGCATGTTAAGTGCAGGCACAGCATGCTCACGGATTTCCCACAGAAATAGGTATTGTTTCACTCCACGGGCAGCCCACCAAAAGCACAATGTGGCACAACATGTGTGGCTTGCAGTAGAGTTTCAGGCTTGCTGTGACAAATTGCAAGGTTTGGGTGTGGTTTCTATTCTGCAAGCTTTGCAAGCTGGAATGGCAGCACAACAGGTCACACACAAGGCATCGCTTGATCGATCGATTTACAAGCCATCACACACCATTCTCAGCGGTTGTGGGTTCCAACTGCCATGTGCCGACACCATGTGCAAGGGATGGAGGAACGCGCACGCACATAAGGTCCATCTCAACCTCTGGCAACCTGCACACATGCACACAATTCACTTCATGTGGTGGGGGCTCTATTGTCTCCTATCTAAGCCACCCCATTTCAGCAAATGCTCTTGTTCACATACAGCTGTAAGAGCTACAGTGCCACTTGACCGCTCGTCAACAACAACATAGCAGGGTTCCACTGCATTAGTTTCACCAGAACTTGTGAATCACTAATATGGGCCTTCCATAACAGATTTTGCACTGTGTGGTGCAGCTGGCATTCTGGTAGAAGATGACATTCCCTACAGCCGTGTGCAGCATGTGGCAATTGGATGACAAAAGGAAGCACAGAATCTGACAGTACTGCATGTGCACCGGAAGGTCACACACCAAATAACTCTGGCAGCAAGGCACATTCACGAGCTGAGATTATCATGCATTCTGTCTGTCAATGTCAGGACACTAGACACTACATTCTGATGACTCCATTGCTCCCAGTCAGCTGCCACCTCTGCACATGAACCTCTCTCTACATGGACATCTCTTTATTTTGCTTCTGACCTACATCGCCGAAAGGTGGCACAGACTGTTGACATCATGCTTACACTGCTGGGAGCGGAGTCGGGTTTAGTGGACGCTATGTAATTAAGGAATTCATCATCATCTGTCAATGTCAGATGCTAGGACCACCAAGGCGTTGCTTTGAATGAGGTGATGAGCTTGCCAAACAAGTGTTATGAAATTCTATACATCTGATATAACACTAGCTGGCTTAGTCTACTGTGCACATTGCCTTGGAATGCACCCAGTCCATGCAGGCCAGTGCAGCAGCAATGTTAACGAACTGCAACAAGAGCAACAACGGGAGCTGCTGACAAACTCAGTTCATGATTCCAAAGCATAAGTGCACATTAAAAGTCCAGGCACTGCCGTTATCCTATCAGACGAGATGTAGGCCCTGTGGCGCCTTGCAAGGTAGCACAAGTGCAATGTGAAGCCCAAAGAATGTGTGTATCTATATGACTGGCAAAAATGGCTGTTCCATTTAGGGCAGGAAGTGTGTCATACAAAGACCACCACTCAGTTGGGGAAGGTACACGCGTGAGAATGTTCTCGATAGTGCCCAAGGCGAACCAGAAGAGGGTGCAAAGGTTCTGAGTGCGCAGCGCACAACACAATGTGCTAACCAAGGACAACACATTGCAGAACCTACATGGCTGATCTGAGAGTACAAAGAGCAGCTTGCATTGGTGATGCTTGAAACTCCTGCCAATGGGCGAACTGTGCAACACAACGAACATGAACAAGTGAAAGGAATACAACTATTCCAAGTGCGCCCATGTCACCAATCGATCACTAAATTCTGATGCAAAGGTCCTGAGCATCGCCAAGCTCACTCTCTTGCCCCTGGCCCTTCCCAGGCCGACTTTGTGTGCAAGCCACGCATGTTGCACACCGTTGTTGTTAAGCGACCCCTTGGAGGAGTTTGCTGTGCAAATGTGCTCAGGAAAGAACGTGTTCTGTCCTGTCCAGCCCTTGGTGAGAGTATTGGCAACAGCACTAAAGAATGCACATTCTGTTACACCAAAGGCAGTTCTCTGAAGGAGACCAGGCAGTGTGAGTTTTCAGCTGTGACAGATTGCAGGGGTGTCTCATGTTTATTGATGGATGCATATGGACTGCTGAAGCAAGTTTAAACGATTAAATGCAATGGACATCCCTCCTCAACGACGCATGAGTAAAATCTTTTGGCATGAAAAGAGAATGCAGGGAAATCCAACACACCCCGCTCAGGGATGCGTGCACACAGCTTCAAATGCCAATTGTCAACTGGGGCCATGGGCAACATATTCACCACATAAACAACTCAAGCAAGCAGAAGTTCTCTGTCGCACTTCATTGAGGCCCTTGCTGTTCAAAGACAAACGAAGGGCATTGCACCCTGCAGGCTTTCATTGCTCCTGGTCTTGACTGGACTCCAGTGCATGGTTTTAATTACACTCACCTTGAAGGTTATGACAGGCAAATACGCAATCCAAAACGTTTTTGCCCTCTCTGCAGCTGTTCATTCTTCCCCTCTGTACCCATTTTCAAACCCCCCACAGTGGATGGTCCATGGGACTCTGTGCCTCACCTCCCATCTTTCCCACTTGCCCCAGGTGACAGCCGCAAACGTGAGGCGCCAGGGCGGCGTCCTTCCAGGCTTCAGGAGCCTGTAATGCGCTTCCAGCGACTCAAACCCGAACTCATCGCCCTGAGCAAATGCGATCAGGAACATTCAATTTTCCAACTTGCGATGCACTCTGCAAAGCAGGGCACTGCAGGCAGTTGCAGGCCGAAAGAACGAGTGTATCCATAACAGCAACACGAAAAACGACACATTGGTCCTGGAGTGGTCATGGTGACTCAGCTGCTTTCAGATAATCCGACACCGTCAGCTGTTCTGACTGTCCACAAGGGAGTCACAGTACACAGCGAGACAGAAGGCGGCAGTCGAGAAGATCATGTCAGAGGCGACCAGGGGAGCTTCACTTCTGGGTGCAGCGCCGGTGGCACAACCCCGACTTTAGGGAAAATGGAACTGCAACCTGCGTTGAGCGGCAGGACACCGGCGCGGGCCCCAAGAGCCCCTCCGAACAGGGCGAGTGTTTGACAGATGAGGCGATCGGTGGCCGCATCGCCTCAAATTCCGTCCCCCCACCCGGCACCCGGGTAATCGACCCCCGGCACGGTAGGCCGGATCCCGTCGTGGCCCCGCGGCCTGACGACCCACCTTCCTCTTGACCCGCAGAACCGCGGCCCGGAGGTTGGCGCCGGCCTGCCTCGTGGTCCCGCACACCACCAGCTCCGGGTGCCTGAGCCCCGGCCCCACCTGCAGCCGTGGCGCCACCCACACTCAGCACACCCTAACCAGCCCAATACGCGATCGAATGTGTGACGGATGCGCGAATCTCGGGGCCGGGCTCGCATGTCGCAGCTCGGGCGGCGCGCCACGATCTGCACCGCGACGGCGTTTTGCTTGCTGGCCCGATCCAAGCGGCGTGGCTTTGCGGGCGGGGTGGCCACGCCCCACCTCCGTTCACTGCACGGCGTCCCGCGTCCGACGCCGCATGACGCGCGCGGCAGCGCTCTGGCGATCCCGTTCCGGTTCCCCGTGACCCACCGTGTAGACCTGGCCCTCCGGCGTGCACAGCAGTACCAGGTCGCCGCTGGAGGGGAAGGCCGACGCCATGCTCACGCCGCGCCTCGGCGCCAAGTCGTCCGCGGCTGCGGGACTGCTGTGTGACACGGACACACAGCGCGACTCCAAGGCCCGTGGTCTTACGTGCACAGCCCGTTTCTGTCAGCGGAAATGTTCGAAAACTTGGAAGACAACGAAGCGGTACATTTTCCTTGATTGCACGCTTCGGCACAAGTTGTGCGCTAAGCAGAAAGTCAGCACTACGCGGTGAATGTGCATTTCAGTGTGGGCCACACATTGAGTGTTTTGGAAGAGCAAGTGGAAGGCGCTGTTGGCGGACCTGCCGTCCAACACCAAAAGCACTTTGCGAGGGACTTTGCCCGGAGGTGCGTCCATCACAATCTGAATACGGCAATCTCCATGCCCACCCACAGTGTGGCGCGGCGAGGGTTACGCAGACCCTTGCAAGGTTAGGAAGGCAATTGAGTTGAAGCAGTCCTGCGGGCTGGCACCCCAATGCGTCATTCTCTTTGTCGCTGGTGCAACGCCCGACGAGGCTGCAGGCAAGGAATTGGGGTGAAGTGCTGATGCCACAGCTTTGTGCCTGCGATGTTTAGCTTTAGCTTGATATGGTTGGTTCCTTGCCACCTCGGCAAGACATTTGCCGCATTGCAAAGCAAAAGTTCTGTAAGAGCCATGGCGATCTGCACGTCCCAGAACAGTACCGGCAGCTCCAAAAAAGCCAAGATTAATGCAAAGGAAAATTGCTGTGCAGCTGCACAGTTTTCATTCCGGATAGATAATTGGGCTATTGACTAAATGTCTCTGGCAGGGAAACTATTGTGCTCCAACTCTCAGTGCGTACTCCGGTTGCAGTTTCAAGTGGCGCCTGTGTCCATCCTGAGCTTCTCGGGAGTGCAATTGGCGTGTTCCAGGGAACAGTATACGGTTTCTATGGTACGAAGAAAGCTTGTGCAGTACGAAACAGGATATAGACAAAACGCGCTGTTGCACTGAGCATCCGATGCCTTTTCAGAATTGTGTGCACTCAAAGAACCTGGTCATTTCATATCGATTGCACTCAAGTTCGTTTCATTTGTCAAAATTGTGTTGCATGTCTGCTGGACACTGCTCTGCACAACGTGCTAGCATACTGAACAGTGCCATGTTCTGCACATTTCATGAAGCACTGGCGTCCAGCATCGATATGCTACGAAACATGGGGACGTGCTGTTCCCCAGGGCACTGCCAAATCGAAGGCCAAGAAAGAAAGGAGCTTAGGCACACCGCTCCAATAGCTTGGGCAACAGGATGGTAGGCACCTCGAAGAGAAACACTTTGCTTTCTCATTCCTAATGCAATCTTGCTTCAGAAGATGGAAGCGAGAGGAAACACTCAGAGTCCATTGTGAGCACTGACTGGTTATCTTCAAGGCAGCACCCAAAAGAACGTTGAAGAACAGCCTGAGGATACCCACTCATAACAGCATAATTCCAGAACACCAAATGGCTCCACCAAGGCAACTCCAAGCCTTGTCATCTGGGGACGCTAATCGACCCAGACTAGCGAATGTACAGCCCTTCAACCCTCTTGATCACCCTGCTGGCTCGTTCACTTCGCTTTGTTGTGCTTCTTGGCCCATTTCTGCAAGCACAATTTTTGTCTGAGTCCAGAAGGAACATGTGCAACTTAATGATATCACAAACACGGCCCAGGAAAGGCACAGAAGCCCTTATCCCAATTGAGCACAGATCCAGGTGTTGACTGACATGTAACAACAATGCAATGTGCAACAACTCAAACCAGGCAGGACAGTCAGGCACGGCCCTCACCTGGTTCCTCACGAATTTGGGGTCCATCTGCACGAAGTAGAGAAAAAAATCAGATAACTACAAGTAGCATTTCTTAATATATACCTGGAACGTCCCACAAAACTTTCGCTGGAGCACTTCCACCGATCAGCACATCGATAAGGTAGCAAGGCAGCAGTCCATCATAGCATTGGCCAATGCATTGCAACTTGCAATTTCGAACCAGAGTGACCAGCCATATGCTGATGTCCACTACACAAATGCAATTGAGACAAGCAGTACAAATTTGGGCCGCTGCAAAGCAACTCATCCAAAAATAGAACAGTTTTCACTGCCCCAACTTCCTCTTGCACTGAGAACAACAGCTAGAAACGACCTGTGCCAAAGGACGATGCATGCCATGTGTGCAATGCTCCAATATTGCATAGCCTCCTCAGGTTGGGTTTTCGGCATCGTTAAGAAAATAAACTGCAGATACAGTTGCTGCTGGTTCTCAACCGTATGAGTATTCATGAACCCAAACACATCCTCTGGGATGGGCTTGAGTCTGACACAAATTCTAGGCCCTCAGTGCGCAGCAGAGGGAATGACGGCTTGGTCTGGCCAAGATCTGGCGCTATTGCGGTGAGGCAAGTGATTGTGTACCTCCCTAGTTTGGACTAAAACATGGGGATGCTTGTTTGGCAACAAGGGAATCGAGACTCACCCCCTTCCTCGACGTCTGTCTGTGCACCTTTGGCTTCTTGATGCCATTTCTGTGGTGCTTGTAGCTCTGGTTATGAGCCGTGTGGTTCTTGCTCTTCGCCATTGTGTCAGAAGACCCTGGCATCCGCAATAACACCCTCAGGCCTGATGCCGGTGGCCCAGATTTCTCTGGATGGGCCATCTGTCGATAAGTACAGCCCGCAAGAATAAAATGACCGCATCCGCGGCTGGCAGTTAAATTTCGCGCCGCCCGCAAGGCAGAAGGCAATGAAAACAAGTGGTGTCTTAGCCAAGCCGCAGGCCAAAGAACAGCATAAGCGCAGGCCGGAGCACCAGAAGCAAGCAACAGGTGGAAAGCAACGCAAAAGGCTCTTCCAGCGCAGATGGCGTAGGACCTGCGCCGGATCTCAAGCAATCAGGGGCAGGCGGAGCGGCCGCCGCGGTGGGCCCGTGGCGCCGCTGTCTCCGCAATCCGCTGACCACGGCACTCAGCAGCGGTATTGTCGATAATGCGAAGCGTCCGCAGTCCCCGGCGAAGCAGCCAAGGGGCCTTACCCTGCAGTGAGTAGGCCTCTGGGACAGCAGCCGCGACGCACTGCTCCAGACAAACGTCCTCGCCGCCACTTGGACCAACAACGAACTTAATGGCTGTTGTGGACTCTGTTAGACGTTGCGGGTGGATGACTAAGCCAACCAACACGCCTGGGCTTTCCGGTGTTCGTGGTAAACATGCCGTGGTCGCCTGCACAGTCCTCCCTTGCAGGCACTTGATTAGTATGCGGCGACCATCGGAAACAGCCTGAAGGACGCTGCAGCAGATTGTGAAAGGGGGCTGGTGGCTAGCAAGTCTGACGAAGGGAGAATTGGGCAAGGGCGAAACGAGCTGCTTTCCTTACACAATGGATTTCTGAGCAAGGAGTTGGGGGAGTTGGACCGCTGAGCAGAGAGGTTATTCAAGTCGGTGGAGCGGCTCCTGGAGACAACCCCGTGTGTGATATCTGATGCGCGCGTGTATATGCGACCGGTGCAGATTTCCTGCCATCGCAATCCGCTCTTCGCACCCTCGCTGGATCGGCCAAGAGCTGGTTAGAATCTGCTGAAATTTATCTCTTACTGGCCCTGTTGACAGCAGAGAATGCTGGAGCCCATATTGAAGTGGAAAAGGCTCTCATATCATAATGTACACAGAGCCCATGTAGTAGAAAGCGAGCACCCAACAGCCAGTTATTTTTCACTACGTGGAATTAGTATAGGTTGAACACTGGGTTTGAATTCCAAACTCAACAGCTCGCAAAAGGGCTGTCGACGACGAAAATACGCTGTGATAAGTCACGTGCGCCTTGCTTGCTGTGAGAGCCAGGGACACTTCGGCTGGGAGGTTCATGGACGTTGGCATCGTTGTACGGTATGCAATTGGAACGAAATCTTCGTTGTTTACCGGTCTGGACTGTTACGCCTGGACAGACGTCTCTACGCAATTTTCACTGGGCCTAACTCTCGGGATTGGTAGATTCTCTTAATTGTAGTGGCCTGCACCGAATTGAACATCCTTTCAGTGGTTTTTCATTCTGCAAGAAGCTTTTGAGGGCAGCTTCTTGCAACTTCACCATTTTGTTGCTAAAATCATCTTTGAATACGAAAATTTTCCAGCACGATCGCGTGGGTAATTTGCGTGTGCAGAACCAATACAGTGGTAGCCTGGTTTAGCGACCCCCCCTGACAAGCCGGCTGTGGGGTCGCTCCAACTAGACGGGTCGTTACGGTCCCCCCAGTACGTTATGTGCTTCAGTAGTACTTAACGCAGTTTAGCAGTAGTTTAAGTCCCACAATGCATCCTGTGCGCTTCCCCAACACCGCTAGATATGGCCACCATTGTGTGGTTCGATTATCTTTATCCTGCATGCCGGTGTAAGGGGGCATCCTAGCCACCGGGTTGAGGGGGTACCTTAAGCAGCCGGTGTAGAGGGTACCCTGGGGGCCAGTGTAGGGAGTACCCTAAGCTGCCAGTGTAAGGGGTACCATCCCCGCTGGTGTAGGGGGTACCCCGGTTGCCAGTATAGGGGTACCCTGGCTGCCGTTATTAGGGGTATCCTGCCCGCCAGTGTAGGGAGTACGCTACACCCGGCCTACCGTGCCCATATTGGCTTTTGGTGCCAGCGACTTAGCCGCAGCGCCTAAGTCGCGGTCGCTGGGGCCTGCCGCAGTGAAATAAAGTGCTAAGGGAATGGTGACAAGCCGTTCAGTGGGTCGCCAAATCTAGACAGGTCGCTAAACAGGGGTCGCTAAACCGGGGCCCCCGCTGTACTACAACAGGTTGTGGGCCGAAGTGCTGCTGCAACATTGGGATTAAGAATTTGTTTCCCAGTTCCTATTTGCGAACTTCTCCTTCTTAAAGATTGGACACCGGCAAGGTTTTCTGCAGTATTTTTGCGACCTGATATGAATGGCATCGCCTTTGGCAAAACGGAAAGCCCTGGGACCATTTTCACGTTAAGAATTTGACAACACATCTGGAAGTTCTGAAGAGCGTTTGTTGTTCAAATTCCGCTTGCATCGCATGTACAGTCCCTGTGCGGGTATGCAGCATTGCCCATGATATTCGTGGGCAAATTATGCCCCAGAGTTGTCGTCTGGCGCCCATCGAGGGGCACTCATAGAGAGTACCAGTGGTAACTTCCATTTCCCAGCGCCCGTCTGCAACATGTATCTCACGCAGACATACAATAACCAAAAGAATGTCAGGCCAGATTGACTACTGTTTCAGCAGCCGTGGCGCTCAACCGGAAATGCATTGATTTCAATGACGAGGAAGGACGAAGCCAATAAACTTCGTTTTAAACTAATGTCCACATAGTGAAAATTTGCATGGTGTATCACGTCATGTACATAATAGCCCACATGTTAACAGTTCCCTGCGTGGCTTCCAAACATCACCAATTCGCACCAGTTTGTGTGCACATCCGCCATCTTCGTACCTCCCACAGAATCCAGGCCTGTTGCTCACGCGTAAGTAGGTTGCTGCTCATGCATAATGACGCGTAATTGTGTCGCTCCACGTTTTTCGCGTAATTCAGCCATGTACCCCAGCATGAGTTGGTGGATAGGTGGGTGGGTGGGTGGGGTGGGGGGCTATTTTGGGATCGTAATTGCACGGCGTGCTATGTTTTGCATCCCTTTTGCCCGTAAGGGTGCGGCCAGCATTTCCCACATCCCTGAAAGCTACCGGCGGAGCTCTCCAACGACGCAAACAGGGGCTCTTTCGCCAGTGGACGGTATTGTTAACTGAGCCTCGCACACCTCCCACCAAACCCAGCATGCAGTGCGTGATTGCAACGTTCCAGGAGCCGCGCACACACAAGGTCGACAATCGAAGTCGCACCGGCAGCTCTGCCCCAAAGTCCTCCACACACAGGCAACTAGGCGCCGCTGGAGCTCGCTTGGGTTTGACGGCTCGCTGCTGCGTGAAATTTATATGTCCATCCGATGGCCTCCAACGGCAACGTTCAGTGGTAAACTATCATACAAGTGCTGTGAAACTGCAAATCTAGAAAGCGCGTCCCAATCGTCTATTGCATTCACCCATTATTTCAGGTGCAAACCGATCAATTTGCTTTATCGACAAACACTATTGCGCTCAAAACGATGAATTCATCCTTGCCAAATACCTCGCGACAAGGTCGCCCTCCACAAGCCCATGCGCAACCATCTCTTCAGACTACAGCGCACCGCAGTCACCATGGAAGGGTCCCCTTGCATGCCTCTCCAGGCACACCCTTTCGACAATGAGTACAGTGAAACAGCGGCCACTAGAAAAATTTCTTCAACACTTTCTCGATGTTTTGGCGGCACACAGGACAACTCCTGTGCTGCTGCCGCATCATGTTGTCGGCACAGGCGTTGCACACACAACGATGCACACTGCAGCACATCGGGGAAAGCAATCAGAAGTATGGCAGGTTTGTGATGTTGACAGCACTTGTGGCACACACAGCCGGTCGCTTGTCTATCCAGGTCTAGATCCACATGAGCAACGATGCACCACGATTGCAAGTAGTCACAGTCTTCACCAACACCACCATTGCATCCTGGTCAGGTGACTAAGGGTGAGGAGGTGAGCACACGAGAATCTGACCACCAAGGGTGCAAGAATTTCTTGTCATTGCTATAAAGAGGTATCTGGCATCAGGCAAGGGAGACTGCTGCTTCCCAGTGTCCCCTCTTGTGGATCTCCAGGAAAGAAAAGTTGGCCAGTTCCTGCAAGCACGAAAACGACAAACAACTACAGGTCGCCACTAATCTGACGCACCTGTCACCATGAACGAATCCAGCCTCCTTCGGGCCATCCAGGCATATCACACATATGTCGTCATCACTGTCATTTTCACCATCACCAGCTCCTTTTCCCGCACTGACTGGTGGTGCTGTGGGCAGGGCCACCTTTGCCACAAGAGGTGCCGAGGCTGCAGGAAAGGGCATGAATGTGTCTGGCAGTGGTGGAGCAGAGGGCCTGACCTCCGGTGCCATTCCCTCCCGGGCTGCCTGTTGTTCCCTGGCAGGGGCATGGATACTGTGGTTCTGGGGCGTGTCCACAGGCATGGCTACAGGATATTGTGACGATTGGTCCCATGAGTTCTGGTTGATGCCCGTTGCATGTGTGGGATCGCCAATCCCCCCATTGAGGCAATAGCTCAGCCGCCGTGCAAACTCTTCATCAGACTCCCCTGGGAAAGAAAGATCACACACAGAGTCTCTCATACACAATGCCACAAAATCGGCAATTGGGCAATCCTGTTTGCAGGGGCAGCATGTCACCATGCCGCACAGCATGCCTCCTCGTGCTTGCTCGAGCATCTGTACGCAAAAGGGTTACTGCAGCAGGGCTGCTCACAGCAAATGCGGACATGAGACTGGCAATGTCGGTATCAAAAAGCAGCAATCAAAGAAAGGATCAAGCTAAAAGTGGCCTCTCTGTGACCTATTAAGCCTGTGCCATTCTACACTTCAGACGTGCAAGACCACAGTCTGCAAACAAGCACATGAAACGCAGACATTCATTAGACATAGGTCCAGGAGACGTGCGATCAGGCAGTACCAACATGTAGAAAAAGCAATTGGGCACAGAGTCCCATCTTCGTTATATAATGAGCAGTGTGCAAACTGGATCTGCAAGAGCTCAAAATGAGCAAAGAAGCTGAAGAACAGGGGAAGCGCACATACATGCAGCAACAACTAAAGTGACACCATACAGATTCTGGCAACAACTCAACTGATGAGTTCATGGAGAAACTAAGCTTGTCCCTAAATAATTGCCCCTGAAAAGGTGGCGCCTTACCAGGAGGCGCCCCAGCTGCTGCAACAGCGGTTACTCCATCTTGCCGACTGTTGACAACAGACATGAATTGCTCCAGGGTGGGAAAGTCGTTCCTTCTGTGCTGTGGCGTGCTTGGATGCCTCTTTAGGAACAGGGTGAAGCCAGTGCTGTGGTTGCCTTTCACAAACAGCCCTTTCGGCTTGAGGTGTGTTCGATGCAACATCTGTGGCACAATTTGCATGATTCAGAGCTTTATTCTTATCCAGCTCACACTCCAAGGAGCTTATGCGGTACAGTCTTGAGTGCAGATTGGAGTGCTCCCTGGCATGACAAGCAAACCCTTTACCTGTTCCAAACATGGTTGGACATGCGATGCATACTGGCTTGCACCTTGTTGCTGAATCAGTGCCGTAAGAATTTCTCTTGCAGGCGACAAAAAACTGTGGCAAGTGCAGGTCATGTGAGGGTCGAAGACTCTCCTCTGGGAAAGGCCATTGCACTGAGTTGCTTGACGTACATGGTCCCATGCAGGGTAGGCCATCACACAACATTCATGTCAATTCTGTGCTATACACAGTGAGCCAAATCTGAGCCTTCAGTCTGCAACCTGTGCGGAGAATCCGCCTAACTCTGTCTTTCATTCCCTGGCATACTGGCTGTAAGTGCATACTTGACAGGAGAAGTGGTACCTTTATAGGATTCCTGTTTCCTTCAAGGACATCAATATGTAGTATGTGTTTGTTGTCCCACATGCTACTCACTACTTGTGTCCATGACGCTCTAGACTGGCGAGACTGCACTGGATAGGCGCTGCCCCATGCTCCAACACTACATGTCCTAGTATGAGGCCCAACTGTTTGTTTGCTCATATGCAGGTCGCCACATTCATTCTCTCATAGCACATTTGTGCACCTGCGGGTGGTCCTTGCCTGCCTGTTGGAGAAACAGTCTACACCTGTGACCTTTGTCGACAAGCCAACATACATTAATCGCCCAGTATGTTCATTGAAGCCCAAGTCACTTTGGCAGCTTAGTTGTGGTGTTTGGGCACAGGCCAACAAGCGCCTGGGGAGTTTGCAAACAGATAAGGCACATTATTCGCACTGGGCACAACCTCCCTTGTCAACATGCCCGTCAATACAGGTCCCGGGCACCAGCATCCAACACCCCCCGTACCACAGAGCAAACGCGCTCATCCTGATGGCCGCTGCCTTCAATCCTGGCACGGGCGCCATCGAGGTAGACCCTGCAGCTCAGGTCCACGTGCTGGGCATTCTCATAGAACAATAGCAGCCGACGTATTACCCGCTCGCTCACTGGCGCTTCTGGGTAGGAGTAGCGGGGAACGATGGCCACCCACCTTGCGAACCAGTTCCGGGACAGTCCTCCCCAGGATTGCACCTGTCACAATCACAATGGCCTCAGTCACCCAAGGGTGTCTGGCCCACAGAAAGAGAGGTAGCATATCAGGGACGTGCACCTCCAAACAAAAGCGTCGCCGAGACTCTCCAAACTGCAGAAAATGAAGCAGAACCTCCGGGTGCAGCAGAAGCAGCACAAAATCAGCATCTAGAGTGCCCTCATTCATCACTGACCACACAGCCATACACTGTTCAACAACATACAGTCGTTGGTCTTTCCATTTCCTTTCAGAATTTCCTTTCATGAATCTGGGTCTGTGCTCCTGTCAGGTACTTTGACAAAGTCATGGACAGCTGAATACGCGGTCAGAACGACAACACGTCTGGTTCAAGCTCGTGGTGGGCATTGGAAAGTTGCTCTGCGCTCCTTTGTTCCGCACCTTGGCCCTCATGTACCCCCTGAAGAAGCCCAACTCCTCGAAGCGCCTGACCAGCACGAGCTCCTTGCGCACGATCGCGTAGTCCAGAGCGGTGAAGCCGCTAGCGTTCTCAACGAAGGGGGAGGCCCCCTTGCTCAGGAGCGCATCCACCAACTGCGCGGAGCATTGCCTCTGGACCGCCTCATGGAGCGCCGTTCCGCCGTCCCGCCTCCGGCTCATATGCTGCACGTTGGCGCCGAACGCCAAAAGCTGCAACACCAACACACGCATGGGGTCAGAATGGCGCCAAAATGTTGCGAGATGCCCACCGGCGTGTCGACGCGTCCGGGCAGGGAGGGAAAGAATATGTCCCAACATGAGCGCGTGGTCGCCAATCCGCCTTGGAAATCAGGCCGCCCCCGTCCTCACCAGGTTGACGCAGTCAAGGTGGTTCTTGGCCGCAGCCACCACGAGCGCTGTCTTGCCCTCGTCGTCGGTCCATTCCAGCAACCGGGTGCGGGCCTCGGCGGTGTCAGAGGCGGGGTCGCCCGCGCGTGACCGAATGGCCTGAAGACACACGAGGGACACGTCACTGGGCACGGCGGCATGAGATCGTCCCAAAGTGGAAGAGACCGCCACAAGGCGCCTGGCGGCAATCACGAAAGCGCTCTTTCCCCCGAACTCAATTTCAAGGTGCCGCCATCCCGGCATGCCCAGCAAAAAAACATCTGCCCCAATCTGCCACGCTAGCGCAGAGACGGGAGCCGCAACCGACACCACAGACGATGTGCTCCGCGCCCAACAGCCGCACTGCGGCAGCCTCTGCGCGAAGCGGTTCTGATCCTGCCAAAGCGGTCGTGAAAGTGGACTTCGAATCCCTACAAGCCGTGCTTGGAAAGCAACTGCGTGTGACCGCGCACAGCAAGCCGACGCCCTAGATCCATGGTGGCAGGGGGCCGCACCTCTAGCTGCCGCGCATCGCCCGCCTTGGCCGCCAGATACACCTGCTTGGGCTCCGGCACAGAGGCCTTGTTGCCCATGGCGGGACGCCAAGAAGGCGCCCCAAGATTTCAGCGCGCCGCGCGCGGCCGTCGGTGGGGCGGGATGCGGAAGTGGGCGGGCGTCTTTCCCCTACGTCGCACGCGGGGCTCGGTGTCTCCGCGCGGGAACTCTTGCTTGCCTCTTGCCCACCGCGGGGGTGGTGCGCACGGGATGGAGTTGGGTGTTGCGAACCGCGGGTGGAAATGTGCTGGATCGGGCTGAAGTGGGGGGGAGGGAGAGGGATTTGGCGAGGGCGAGGGCCCCGCGAAACGCGCTGATTGCTCAATCAAGCGGTGATGGCATTCCCTCGAGATATGTTGTCGTGCGCAAGGGCCACCAAGCGGCGTTGTCAACAGGCGTTGCCTTGAATCTGCAAGCGCAAGGGTTGGCACCGCGGATGCCCGGGTCCCGAGGGCATGAAATTAGTCGCTCTGTCTTTTTCCGTGAGCACCCTTCTTGTTTCGACAACCTAAACTCTAAAACCACTGGCCCACTGACCCACGTCGGCCTTGCCAGCGGAAGAAGGGGGGGCCCTCACGGAAAAGACAGAGGGGCCAATATATTCTCGGTCCCGAGGAGCGCTGAGTTGCATGGAAGCGCAAGGACCGACACCAGGCAACGGCGGGATGCCAAGTCAACGGACGTGTCATTGGATGGGTGGGGTGGGGGTGGGGGGGGGTGCATGTATGAAAGAAACTTATGACGGTACTGCCGATCGTCGAGGCCGGGGAGCCGCACAGAACGGGGCCTTCAGTGTGGGGAACAGCAGGGTTTGTCGTCGGGGATACTTTTTGTTTCCCGCTATATTTCTTTTCGCGGCTGCTGTTGCGAGCAGGCTGAGTTTCTGGGCGTCGTGCGTGCACCGTCACTGGACAGAAAGGCGGCTGCCCTCTGCTGCTCAAGATCACAGAGAGGGGCACTTGGATTTGTGCCATTTATTTCTGGTGCTGAGAACTTGTTTCGAGCGTATTGCAAGAGTGCGCGAGCGCGAGGGAAATGCAGCTCAATTTGTCTTGTACAATATGTGGCTGTGAGCTCAGAATTCTGAGTTTATTTCCCCTTCGAGGAGGAAATCAAAAGAGTGAGAAAAGTTGTGTTTCTGATTGCGGAGAAAGTTGCCATTCTCATGGCTGTCATCGCGGCTGTGAGTATCATCGTTGTCCTCTTTGCGTTTGACAGTGAAGAACGCTGGCTTCTAAGCTGAGTCGAGTCGGCTCCAAGTCGGACTTGGACACTGACAATTTGGTTGAATTCAGCCCCAGCTCATCTGCCAAATGGCACCTGCAAGCGGGTAACTCAGGTGAATGTCATGACGTGATTAACAGCTGGCTGAATGTGACTGCCCAATAAAACTGAATACATTTGGCATGGGAAAACAGTTGACGCATTGAGCGCGGCAACGGGACGCCTTTGAAAAGCATAAGGCTTCCCTAAATGTTGAATTTGCAGTTAGGAGTGCTTTTGCTTCACACATTGGAGATATACGACTGACACACGTCCACCCACTGGCTGACGCAATACTTTAGACCAGCCATGGGATGGCATTGACAGAAGTTGGGCGTTGCAAACAAGCGAAAAAAATGCAGAATGATGGTAGCAAAAAGGAGTCCACATCCGGAAATTTGCTAGGTGTTGATGCAACATTGATGGGCACTTCCATCAATGCCGGTCTTAAGAGCTGGTGTGTGTAGAGCGGCCTTGATGCAATGTTGCATCAAGAGCAACATGGCAACGTTGCATCAATGCTTGAATTGATGGAGTGTTGCTATCAAGGGCTGTTGCTGGGGTGTTGATGCAACATTGCAGCAATACGTCTTGATGGTACCGTTGCCGCAAGACATGTTGTTGGAATTTTGGATCAACGACTGCGCTCATCAGCGTTGATGCTGAGTTGTATTGCCAAAAGGGAGGACAACGTTACTGCAATACGGGCGTCCAGCAACAGGCTTGCAATGGGCTCATTCTTTGATATTGAAAAGTTGATGCAAGGCCCGTTGATGGCAACGCTGCCAGATGGTTCTGTAACTGGCGTGTTGCACCGAGATATCTTTGTTGTTCTTTGAGTCAACATGTGTTAAGTACACAGTTGGGCCAAGCCTTGGGGAAGATATCGATCAGCAGTTGTGGGCAATGCATCGGTGGTTGTGTCCCCTCGGTGCTGCCATTGGAGGCTGCGCTATGTGCTTTTTGCTCCTGGTGCCCTTGTGTTTCCATGTGCATGCAGCTGTTGCCACGTTGTTAGATCGTTGTCTCCCTGAACTGCCCCACCCACGCATCCAACCATGTCTGGTAGTGGACAGCATCTTCACTGGCTGCAGCAGCTGCACCCCTATCTAAGATGCACTCTTGTCTGCCATGCAGGGGCCACACGCAGCAAGGGCATGTGCGTCACAACTCCCAATGGGTAGTGCACAAGCATATAACACCATGACATTAACTACAAGTCGTCCACAAAACTGTTTTGTTACAAAGATCATCCTTCCGCTCTCTAATCAGGTTATTTATGCGAAACCTTGATGACAGCCCCCTTATTGAACCCTGGAAAAGATCAACACCACGCTCATCCCTGCCTTCTTTGAATCCTCGTCGTCTTGGCTGCTGTCCATGACAAGTGACATGTAAACGGCGCTTCCGAACATCAAACACCTGAGCATCGGGCAGCACACAAGGGACCATTCAGCTTGTCATGCCTACCACGTTCAGCACACTTGCCTTTGCTCGTGGCGTTCGCTGCTGCTGTGGAGGCCTTCGCCGCCGCCGCCGCTGCCACCATTGATGGGCCACACAACCGCCTACAGGTCAGGTCGAGGGGCTTCTCACCTGATCGCTGATCGCATCGTCGCCGCCGGCTCGCTTATATCCAGAATTAGTGCCAGGTAGGCAGCGTCTTAGTACTACAGCGCCCTGAGCGTCAGGCGCCACACATGGGAGCCCTCAGCACGTTGCGGTCAGCCCACCCGTCAGCGTTCTTGGCGTTTGCTGCCTCAGCCGCCACCACCGTTGATGGGCACCACAACCACGGCCAAGTTCCATACTTCAGGTCAAGGGGCGCGCCACCTGATCGCCGATCGCAAGATCGCCGCCGGGTGGCCGCCATCGTTCCATGTTTGATGGGTGGTGGCCGCTGCCGACACTGGACACTACAACCCTACAACAGACAACACAGCTAGTCACGCCAAACATTCACAACGCTCACAACGCTGCAGCCGACAGGCGACCGTCGTTCCATTCGCAGAGCTTCGCTGGGTAATTGGCGGCGGGGGCAGCGTGGTGGGTGGGCTGATGCTCGTCTTGTCGGGGCACCTTCGATTTGAACTCCCAGAGGAAAGGTGATGGGTTTCTGGCACGGAGAGGGGTTTGAAGTAGACGATGAAAACAACAAGCTGACTAATTGACTGATTCCCGTCGCCGCTCCTATCGAAGTCGATTTTTTTGGGGGGGTGGGGGGTGGGGGGGCGGCGGGGCACCGCTAATATTAGAAAGCGAAATGATTATAGTGCTCATAAATCCAACAACTGGCCAATAGTAGAGGAAGAGAGTTTATTGCTGTTGCCCAAGTCGACGCCTGCACTTGACTAAAAAACGATAATTAGCAATAAGAAGTAAATGCTCCAGTGAATGGTCCGTCCTTCCAATGTATTGACGATCTTTCAAAACTGCAACCAGCTGAAAGTGCCGGATTGTGACAAGCAAAGCACTTGCCAAAGAGCACAGTGGTTAAGAGAATGACAAACCTTGCGGGGGTTAATCACACAGCATCCTGACTGCTCTGCGGCATCAAACTTGTATCCACAGCCATGCAACCTATGGCAAACACATGACTGCGGGTAAACATTCAAACACAAGAAAATCAGCAGCAAACACATGACCTGAAGCAAACATCCCAGCACGAGCCCATCAGGCACAGTCTCCACAGCTTCCAAAGCAAACAAGCCCACTTAAATGCATGAGAAGTTTTCCTCTACAAAAATGCTGGCAATCATGGGTATAGGCGGTTCCTCTATTTAGCAGCAGCCGCTTTCCAGTCATGGCATCAGCTCACTTTCTAAAAGGGAATGCCATTGGCAGACTTGACAATGAAAGCACTGTTGGTACGAAATACGATTGCACTAAGAACCACAACCTGAACAACACAATTCTACAGATATTTTCGTGTCAGAGCAATGCAAGTGATGGCAGTTCAGAGCTCAGAGACCTTTCACATCTGTGCAAGATAGCCTTTGACCTTGCGAATGTGGTCAAAATGCTCATGCCTTATCACAGGATTCTGCAAAACGGATACAGAAGTGCTTGATTTGCAGAAGCGACATTTAGGCTGGGAAGAAATTGTGCAGCAATATGTTAAGCCCTGTCCATCATGCCAGCCATTTGGTACTCAGTTGGCCATGCACTTCATAACACAGAGCATATTAATCTGCAGGCAGGCTGTGCTACACTGGCAAATGCATGGTAGGAACATGATGCTCTGCTGTATGGTGCAAACATAATTCAGGCAGCCAACTAAAAAGCATAGCAGTCCAGAGGTAGGATACAATAAAAAGAAACAAGTGCCTGCAACAAGTGTTCGTATCACATGTTCAAACCACATCGTCTGAAGATGGACAAATTGTTGCACTAATGCTGTTAGGAAGCATGAGTGACGAGCAACATGATGTTATGGAACACCACAATACTCCGATTTGCGTGCCACACCTCCAGCTGTGGAATGATCAGATTTCGTAGTGTCTGCCCTGAGTTGTCTTTATGTTGATTGCAGTTGGATGGCCATCCTGGGCATCACATTCACACAATTGATCATGGCCACGATCACCTGAACTGACTTGATACCATCTGCAGCCCATCGACGATGTTGCTTGGACTCGTTGCATCGTGAGAGGGACCACAGGGTCCAGCAAGCCGCCCTTCGATTCAAAGATGAGGTTGCAACAGAGTGGTGGACTGGATCCAGCCAGTACACTGCGGCAATGATGTCCACAAGCACAACATTTACCTTGCCACA